TTGAGACAATTGAAACTGCCTTGAGATTTGACAGACTTGTATATGTCCTCAATTGATTCTTTAAGAAACATGGCCCCTGTGAAAGAAATGTGTAAAAATCATTTGGCTTCAAGCCGTCTCACATGTACTGACTTTCCTCTGGACTCAATCAGTGACCGTTTCTGAAGCCAGGGCTCTGAAATATCCTCTACGTGTCAGCAACAGGGCCTTCAATATGTAGTTGAGAGTTATGTGCGCAATTCTGTAAGAGTCCCTCTTGAAAACCCTCGAGCACCTTCATAGCCGTGTTCAGTAATAAAATTAAGGTCCAGATTTCACTGTGACACACTGAAAAGACTTGGCCCGGGCAAAAGTTTGTCCAGCAACGGTTGCTATGAGAGGGAGCTCTCTGATTGGTGGTCAGCAGACCAATCGGAGAGCCAACAAAGGGTTAAATATTTAAATGTTAAAGACAGATTGAGTTTTCCTCCTCTGTGAGGCAGCCTTTATGAAATGATGCTGCATTTTTTGATGATGCAAGATGTATGATCATCTTCTCTTTTCCAGTATTGTGATGATATGTTATCCATCTATTTTCAGTCGATGCAATCATCCAGCTGAATGTAATATTACTTGTTGGCTGTTTGTAATTCCTTGTACTCACAGGGTCCTACAGTCAGCTGCTGAGTGTAGTGTTGATGTGATTTTGTTGACGACTGTTCCCTCCAGGCGGCTCTGTGTGCTGTTCACATTGTAAGAAAAGTCAACGAACTGGGTGAGCTCTTCGCCCCGGCAGCTCGAGCCCTACTCTCTGAGAAAAACCACGGTGAGCTGCTCCATCTTTACGACACGCCTATGTTACCACCTTGTGTCACGTTGCTAACTTGACTCACTAATACCCATGTATCCCATGATCCCTCGTGGACTGCCCTGTGTTTACCTGTAGGCGTGTTGCATGGTGCCGTGGTGCTCATCACTGAGCTGTGTGAGAGGAACCCAGAGACTCTGGAGCGCTTCAGAAAGGTGCAGAAAGAAGAAACATCACCACTTTTCATTACATAAGAAGTTGTGTATCTCGACTCTCTCTTTTTCTCAATCTCTCTGCTCTAACGTGTTTGTGCTGTGTGTGTGTGTGTATCTCAGACCGTACCAGATCTGGTTCAGATCATGAAGGGTTTGGTCATTTCTGGTTACTCTCCGGAGCACGACGTGGCAGGAATCAGTGATCCCTTCCTACAGGTCAGTCTGTCACACACCATCACATCCATCCATTTAAATGTCTTAAAAACACATGTCCGACTTGTTTTACGAGATATGTCTTGTGTCAATTCAAAGTCAAAGTCAAAGTCAACTTTATTGTCAATTTCAAAATATGCCAGACATACAGTGGAATCGAAATTTCATTTGTCTCCGTCCCACGGTGCAATACAACCAAAATAAGGTAAAATAAGATAAGGTAAAAAAGATAAAATAAAATGAGGTAAAAATAAGATAAATAATATTTACAGTAATAAATTCTAAATTGTGCAAAAGGTACAAAATGGTAAATAAAATAATGTGCAGTAAACTGATTGTACTTTGAAAAGTTAGCTTCAGAGTTATTAGTCCAGAGTTCTTGGTGGAAAACGGGAGGGGGTTTCAATGTCCAGTGTTCGTGGGGGCAGAGGGGAGGGAAGGAAGAGAGGGGAGAGTTAAGCTTCCTGACAGCTTGGTGGAAGAAGCTGTTTCCCAGTCTGGTGGAGCCGGCCCGCAGGCTGCGGTACCGTCTCCCAGATGGCAGGAGGCTGAAGAGGCTGTGTGAGGGGTGGGTGGGGTCACGCACAATGCTGGTTGCTTTTCGGGTGAGGCGGGTACCGTAGAGGTCCAGAAGAGAGGGGAGTGGGACACCGATAATCCGTTCAGCAGCCTTCACTGTGCGCTGCAGGGTCTTGCGGTTGGCAGCAGTGCAGCTCCCAAGCCACACAGTGATGCAGCTGGTCAGGATGCTCTCGATGGTGCCTCTGTAGAAGGAGCACATGATGGATGGGGGGGGCTCGTGCTCTCTTCAGCTTGCGGAGGAAGTAGAGGCGCTGCTGGGACTTCTTGGCCAGTGATGTGGTGTTGGTTGTCCAGGAGAGATCCTCACTGATGTGAACCCCCAGGAACTTGGTGCTGCTCACTCTCTCCACAGCAGCAGGTTTAGGAGTGGGGACTCTCCGGAAGTCAACAACAACCTCCTTGGTCTTGTCGACGTTCAGGAAGAGGTTGTTGTCTCTGCACCACGTGGCCAGTTGGCTGACCTCCATCCTGTAGTGCGTCTCATCGTTGTTGGAGATGAGACCAACCACTGTTGTGTCGTCCGCGAACTTCACAATGTGGTTGCTGCTGAAGGATGGAGCGCAGTCGTGGGTCAGCAGCGTGAAGAGCAGGGGGCTGAGCACACAACCCTGGGGGGCCCCAGTTCTCATGACGGTGGTTTTTGATGTGTTGCCGCCGATCCGCACTGTCTGAGGCCTCTCGCTGAGGAAGTCCAGCAGCCAGTTGCACAGGGAAGTGCTGAGCCCCAGCTGGTCCAGTTTGCCGATCAGCTGATGAGGGATGATGGTGTTGAATGCTGAACTGAAGTCTATGAACAGCATTCTGACGTATGAGTTTTTGGTGTCCAGGTGGGTGAGGGCTGGGTGAAGAGCAGAACAGATGGCATCCTCAGTGGATCTGTTACCTCGGTATGCAAACTGGTAGGGGTCCAGGGTGGTGGGGAGGGTGGATTTGATGTGGGCCATGACTAACCTTTCAAAGCACTTCATGACGACGGGGGTCAGTGCAACGGGTCAATAGTCATTGAAAGTGGTGAGGGCTTCTTTGGAACGGGTATAATGGTGGTGGCTTTGAAGCACGACGGAACAACAGCCTTTACATGTAATACCCCTTCCAAACGATTCACAAGACTTACAAGCCGGCTAGCCGCCATGGGTGGTGTCTGTGCTTTGGTTTGTGAACACATGTTTGTTGATCTTATACATTCTTTGTGTTTAAAACACATTAAAGCATAGAGAAACATATCATGTAGAACAACCCTCACTCAGAGAAGACGGCAGCTTATAAAAACACAAGAATAATAATAATGATACTTCTCCAAATTATAGTAAAAAAAATCTGTTTGAATACACTTAAAATGAAAACACAATCTGCATCAGTTGAAAGAGTAGTGGGGATTAAAATGATGAATACAGAACTTTACAGTCAACATTTAGACTTTAAAAACAGCAGTACACAAATACACATAGACACACGTCCAGTTTAGACAAACATTCCTCTCACTAAAATGTATTTATTTGTGTCCTTTGCCTCTTGTCTAACACTTCCGATGCTTCTGAAATTTTTTGACAAATTCCAAAAATGTCTCCAAAACATCAACAAACTCAGAATGTTTTTGCCTCACTATTTCAAGAGTCAAACCTTCTGTTAATTCTGTTAACCATCTGGACTTTAGTTTGGATGTTCTCACATGAAGCTTGATTGACTGCTGTGAATGCAATTATAGTGAAATCTGTATCAAGTATTACTTTCCATATCAGTGTGGCTCTGTTCATTCCTGATTTAAGACCAAAGACTGTAAATATTAATGGACGTAGCCTGAGTGACGTCAGCCATCTGTTACTGCAGGGGGCTCTGGAGGCTCAGCAGCAGCCGCCATGTTGGAAATCCTGTCTCAGCCCAACTTTCAGTCAACCTAACAACAGAATGAGAGCTGGAGCTGAGGCGGGTTTTAAGCCTTACGACAAACCATTCATAAAATCAAAACTTTGCCATTTGACAATAAGTAATCAGACTTATTGTATGTCGTTTTTGTACCAGGCTGTAAACATGTTTGTTTCTTCAGTACAAATGGCTTTTTTTTTTTTTTTAGTTGTGGTGTGTATGTGATTTATGGGGCTTTTGGAGCCAGCCTCAAGCGGACACACGACGTACTGCAGGATTTTATACTTCCACATTGGCTTCACTTGTCAAGACCAGAGGTTGCTGCTTGTTTAAAACAAACAAATAAATATGCAGAACCAAAAAGGACTCTGCGAACTGATTAAACTGCAACAGATGCTTGACCTGCATTCTGTGTTGAATGACATTGACTGTAGAGACTCTATAGATTCAGATTCTATGTAGACTTGTTGAATTAATTTCAATGTAAAGCAGCAGCCATTCAGCACTTGACTGATGCTCTCAAATCCAAATGTTGTGACCTTTTCTTCCTCCATCGCTCTGATTCAGTCTTCAGAGGGTTCAGACTGATTACCCCTTGTTAGCGTTTCTTTTTTTTTTTTTTCTCTCACTAAACAATATTTATCTATCCTCTCATCCTTCCTCCTGTTGTCCATCATTCAGTCTACCAAAATAACTCTTCTGTCTGTGTTCTCCATCCTCAGGTACGCATCTTGAGGTTGCTGAGGATTCTCGGTCGCAACAACGAAACAGCCAGCGATGCCATGAACGACCTCCTAGCTCAGGTACGAGGGTCCCTGTCAAAAACAAAACAACATGAAGTTTTACTTATTCGTATGTTTAAATTTTCTTTGTCATTAGACAACTTTTGGTGTCAAAATGTGAAGAGGCCACTGATTACAAGAAGTCTAACGCCATCAAACCGCATAAAACCATGACTCTCACTTTCTCTATCACCTGAGAGTTGACTTTTCAGTTCTGTTATTCTGGTGTCGTCATGCCCGAGTTAACTGCATTCCAATAACAAACTGTGCAACAAGTCAGACAAGCCACATGGACGCCCCTCAGTACATTTATTTTCTTTGCTAATACCAGGCGATGACCACACACTACGTGATAGTTTGCACAGGAAAGTAAAACGACAACATGTCCACCAATAGATTCTGCACAATGCTATCAGTGTGATTTAATTACACAAAAACAAGACTTAAGATGCTAATAAACATTTTAGTGTACAGTTCAAATGTTACTGTTGATACACGGAGCAGCCATGTTGGATTTTACCTCAGGCCACTGAAGTTCCTCAAAGTTTCCGAGTCAGAGTTCCTGATGAAGTATCCGACTGGCAACTCGGAATTTCTGCCTTCTGAGATCAAATGGACTGCACCATCTGTCTCCCTCTATGCTACATTACAGTAACATAACAGTGATATAAATGACACAACTTAAGTTGTCTTAATTATTGTCTCATATTAAATAGAAGATAAAGATGGGTATGCTTTAGTGTGTGGTTACACGTGACTGACCAGATCTCCGCAGCCCTTCAGTACAGGCACAGAAAAGTGTGTTTCCCCTCTTGTCCAAATGTTGCCACTTCTGTTTCCAATGGGGACGGCCAAAATGCAAAAAAAATGGTCATCAAAATGTGACGACTGAGGTCACTGTAGTTCAGTCTGTTTCTTATATACAGCCTTTTTATTTGAATACATCTTATCCAGCCCTGTAAGAGCACATACGTTATTATATTATATAATATTATTATACTTTACTTTATTTTTGAGCACATGTTTATTGATTAACTGTGTACACTGCTGTCAATCATGCTCACTACCCGGTTGTTTACTAAAAAAAAGGTAAACAAAGCATCACCTCTGTGTTTCTCCTGAAAGAATCACCACAAACTGTGTGGTCAGAACAACAAAAGTGAAAACGGGAATGGTTTTATCAATTGATGGAAGAGAGATGAAAAATGTCTCTTGCTAATCAGCGAGTGTATGTTGTTGTATTAATGATATGTTGACTCGTCTGACTTGTCATACAGGTGGCTACAAACACCGACAGCACAAAGACTGTTGGCAACGCTGTTCTCTATGAGACGGTTCTCACTGTGTTGGACATCAAGTCAGAGAGCGGCCTCAGGGTGAGACACTCCTCAGTGTGTTTTCATACAAAGGGATTAATGCGGCCTCATTGTTGAATCCACTCAGACATGCTTCTCTTGACTTGTGCCACAGGTTCTGGCTGTGAACATCCTGGGAAGATTCCTCCTGAACAACGACAGGAACATTCGGTTAGTTTCTGTTTTGTTTTTTAGTTTTTTAGTCTTTTTTTTCTCTTCCATCTCAAATTCCTTGCGATTGCGATACGGCACGATACAATGCGATATGATACGGTTCAATAGGGAAATCTGTTTTTGACTCCGGTGCTGCACACATAGCTGCCTCGACAGTAGATTAAAAAAAAATAGAACGTTAAAACTAAAAACAATCCACATATGAACAACATATTGCACATTATCCTTACAGCACAAAATCTGCATAGAAACAAAACTGAAATAATACAAAAAGATAACAACCACATGACACTATTGCACATACAGCCTTAAAAAACATTCAACATTTTGTTGAAGGTGGGCACACCTTACTTCTTTTTCCCCATCCTCCCCTCCTTCCTCTCTTATCTCTCTGGGTCACTTTACCTTTTCCGTTGCACAAGGCCAACAGCAAACTCGCTGCAGCCAGAGAGAGAAACCTCCCCGCTGGCCGTTATCAGTCTGAGCCCACTAATCACTTTCCCCTCAAGCCTCAGTGGCAGGTCTCTGTCAGCCTGAGGAGCTGATCTCTTCATTTCTCATGAGACAGGGTGGAGGCCTGTGGCAAGTTGACTTTGTCTCCAGAGGGGCTGTGTGGTCACGCAGGCCTGTCTGGTTCTACCTGCAGGATAGAACCAGACAGGACTGGTTCATTCCTCCGAGCAGTGCACCGCTAGATAACATCTCCCCCGTGCTCACATCAATACTTAATAAGTTCACGAGACATTTCAAGGGGAAAGATCAATAATTTATAATGCCAGGTTCAGAAAGTGAAGTTTGTACAGAGCTGTTTAATAATCTAACAAACTATTAATACTGAAAACACGACTTCTGTGTTATATCATGATGAAGTATAAAGATTAGAGATCTTTATTTGTGTCTCTCTTTTTACGTCCAGGTACATTGCCATGATCTCTCTACAGAAGATTGTTGGGACAGACCACAATGCAGTGCAGCGCCACAGGGGGACCATCGTGGACTGTCTGAAGGACCAGGACGCTTCTGTCAAACGGTAACTTTCACCTCCTCATTGCTTGTCAGGAACAACTGGTTTACCACTGATGTTTATCTGGAAAAACAAAGTCGGAGAAACACTTTAAAAGATCCACTGGAGATGATCAGAGTCTGATACAAACACAGTTGTTTGTGCCTTCAACAGCAAACGATAAAAACTTGAGCTACACCTGGAACTCCACTTTCAGAGTCTGCTCTTTTATAGCCTCTTAAAGGAGATCTATGAAACTCACTTTCACCATTAAAGGCCCAGACACACCAAGGAGATCGTCGGTCCTAGCTGGACCGTCGGTAAGCGGTCGTCACCCTAGTTTTTTCCTGTGTCAGCTTGCTACCCGTTGGCCTTTTTTTGGCTGATTCGACATGTTGTATCAGCGTCGGTAGTCTGTGAGAGGAATATCTCTGATTGGCTGTTTGGAGGTTTCATTTATCTCCAGCTCTCACAGGTTCAGGAAAGCCCCTTGAGCCTGACTCTGTACTATCCATGCTTTCACTCATTAGTGCGGTTTCTACTTATTTGTTGCCTCCGCCTCTTCTTTTCTTTTTTCTCTCAAAGACCAAGGGCCGACAACGCCAGCGCCATTTTCAGCGTTTTATCAGACATTATTCTCGATTAGTAGGTTCCCTATAACACGAGTGGTGAGCGACAGCGGTGTGTAAACGGTCTTCTTGTATCATAACAACGAACTACCACCTGCTGGCATGGAGAGTTATTTCCTCTCGCACATGTGCAGAACGTACTTCGTTGTGGTTGGCCATCAGCTGTAGTCCTTACGGTGTGTTCAAGTGCAACTTTTAGGCCAAGACAAGAGGCGAAGTGAGGTGACTAGTTCTTTGCCGTCTGCTGTGTCAGGGCCTGTATGATGTCAGGCTGGTACACCTACTGAGGTGGTTGAGAGATGTGTAACTCCTTATTTATCTTTGACTGTCATTTTTAAATCCCTCATTTCAGCCTCTACCTAAACTGTTCACTTTAGCTGCTGTCTCTTTAAGGGCCCCCCCTCCCCATGTGCCCGCTTTCCTCCGATTGGCCAGCTTTGTTTACAGTCGCAGGGAGATTAGAGTGAGCGTCCGGGTGGGAGTCAAAGAGATGCCAGGGTGGGCATGTAATAAAGCTTTGCTCCACGCTTCCCTCTAATATGTCGGCTGGCCAAGTTTACGCCACGGCCAACATCGTAACATTTTATGTATTTATATAAATATGGATCAGTGGAATAGATCTCCTTTAATGGAGGATTGAAAAAAACACATACTGTCAAGCTTTTGTGGATTTACAATATGCTTAAAGGTGAACTTTTACAAAAGGCTCACCCTTCTTTTCACACACACATAAGCATAAAATGCAGCCTGTACAATCCACAACGTGTTCTCACAGCCCTCTGTGCTTTCACTTCCAGCGCATCTGCCCTCCACACAATGTGCAAGCCTAAGCAGATTTATATCTCACAGTTTCCCACGTACGCATCTCTCCTATAACTCACTGATATTCCCAAGACCGTTTGTTCCCCCTCCTTCTCTGAAGCGCCTCTTCTAAAAGGTCCTCCAACCTTTAGCTCCTCCTATCTGGCATTCATGATACTCCCTGTCCTGCAGGGCCTCTGTAGCTGTGCTCTGAACGCACTCAGTCTATAGAAGACCTTCTTTTAATGGCAGTAACATTATTTATATACTGTAGGTGATTATAAATGTAACACAGATGATATAATCTTAACAGAATAACAGCTCTCATAACAGAATATGTCACTTTTGACGATAGATACACTAAAGCTAATTTTTATGTAAAGTTTGTGACATTTTTCGTATGCTCTTAACAAACATAATAAATGGATACTTAAAGATTTCTGAAGAGCTGCATCACTGCTCCCTAATCGAGGTTCAACAAAGGCACAGAACATAACTGTGTATTCTGCATTTTGATTGGGCAACAGCACAGTGATGGAGGCTATCTCCGAAACTCATTAGACAGCCAAACAGAACGTAATGTATCTTATAATAGGGAATGGTGAGCAGTATGATGCGATCCATGTAGCAAGTTTAGCTTCTATGTATTATAATATGATATCCAGACCACATTTATTAACTCAAAAACAAATGTTGAAATGAGGATAGTAAAAGAACAATCCTTACATGGTCTAGATCCGCAGGAAGGTCTATTACATAAAAGACCCCAGTGAGCAATAACAAGTCAGTTTGTAGGCAAAGGGCACTCACACAGGAGGCTTTCTGTTTACATAGGAGCGTCTTCCTCACCAAAACGGCCTCTGTTGAAATTAAAGGGGACATATGATCCCCTTCTCCACTTTTTCAAACAGTCCCCTATAGTCTAAATGAAACATCTGTGCTGTGCTTTGGTCAAAATAAAACACGAATCAAGCACCAGAGGAGGTTTGTGACCCTGTATAAACCAGCTCTCTCAGAACGCTCCGTTTTGGTGTGTGTGTCTCTTTAAATGCAATAAGCCCCCCCCTGAGTTTTCCCGGTAGACATCATCTCTCTGTAGCAAGATTAAAAATGGCAGACCTGCAGAAAAGTTTTGTTCTATGCTGGGGGTGGAGTCCATGGGTGGAGATATCAGGGGAGGGGAGGGGATTTTGTTTTTTACCAGAATCCCACTGTGACATCACAAGCTGAGCAAGACTTATGCAGACTACATACAAAGGACTGGATGGATGTATTTCACATTTTGTGAGTCAGTAGACACTCAGGTTACCCAAATATATGTTCAAAAACACTGTAAAGTGGATTTTTCACAATATGTGCCCTTTAAGGATGTGTATGGATGCAGAGGGATGGAACACAAGTTTTCTGCACCTACTGAGTTTAATATAAATAACCAACAATAATCCTCTCTTTTAATCCCTCCAGCCGTGCGTTAGATCTCTCCTTAGCGTTGGTGTCAGCCTCCAACATCCGCTCTATGATGAAGGAGCTGCTCATCTTTCTCTCCTCCTGCCCGCCTGAGCTCAGGTCTCAGGCTGCCAGCGGTATATTCAATGCTGCAGAGAGGTGAGAGACACACTGCATGCAGACAGATACATATGTATTATACGCACAAACTTCATGCATGCAAGGCCACATACGTTCATGTGCACGTGAGGACTCCAGCTGGGATAGTGTACGCATTAATGTGAGGCAGCTGTTTAAGTGTTAAGGCTGGTACAAAAAGTCTCTGTGCTAGTTAAGATACACTGTCTCTCCACATGTCTCACTCTGTGTCTGTCTCCACTCTCAGTGAGGACACCCCCTCTCTTTTTGTTATGATGAACAGCCCTCTCTGTTTCTATTTTATATCACTCTGCTACTTAATGCTTTTTGTTTTTGTGTATGAATGTAGCGAGAGGATACAGATGCACGTGTGTGTGTGTGTGTGTGTGTGTGTGTGTGTGTGTGTGTGTGTGTGTGTGTGTGTGTGTGTGTGTGTGTGTGTGTGTGTGTGTGTGTGTGTGTGTTGTGTGTGTGTGTGTGGTGTGTGTGTGTGTGTGTGTGTGTGTGTGTGTGTGTGTGTGTGTGTGTGTGTGTGTGTGTGTGTGTGTAAGACTCCCCCTTAAGCACCACTGAGTGTGTGTGTCTCTGTCTCTGTCAGGTATGCGCCCTCCCAGCGCTGGCACATTGACACCATCCTGCATGTCCTCACCACGGTAAATACAGACTGAGCCGCTCACCCTGCTGCACTCTGCTATAGAGCCTGTTTACACCTGGTGTTAACATGCACTCAGGTGATCCAATCACAGGCTCCACATGTGGCGTTCAGTAAACCTACACAATCTTAGAATAATATGCACCTGGGATTGGATCACCCACGTGTTAAAACGAGGTGTAAACTGGGTCTGAGTGTTGAATCCAGGGGCCACGAGGATGAAAGCTGTGTACTAAATGTTTGTTTTTATCAGAAAAAAAAAAAAATCCAAATTGTGTGCACCTCTAAAAACTAACGCTCTTCCTTTTGCACATGGTTGCATCCTTACTCCTCATTCTGTACTCCATGGAGGTGAGGAAATAAAGTAAAGACCAAGCTGCTTTCAGCTGATGAAGGATGCAGAGAAAGAGATATAGAGGAAAGCTGAATACATATCTGTAAATGACCTCCACAATGTCTATGAATGAACTGTGATAGAAACATCCCAAGTGGGTTCATTGTGTCTGGGAAAAGGACGACCCATATACTTGGGCCAGCTGTCTAGCTAATGGAGTTTAGTGTGTTTGAGTGTGAGTGTGTGTGTGCTTGTTAGTGTGTGCTAGAGATTGACTCTGGTCTTCACTCTGTCAGGCAGGGGGCGACGTAAGGGATGAGACGGTACCCAACTTGATCCAACTCATCACCAACGCCTCAGAGCTGCACTGTTACACCGTCCACAAGCTGTACAGAGCTCTGCTCACCGACATCTCTCAGGTGTGTGATTGTGTCTTTGTTTTTAATGTTCTTAAAGAAGTGATCAAACGTTTCAGCAGATGTACCTGTGGGTATTAACCGTCTATGAGAAGTCACTGTAGCCTTTCTGTTTCGTAACTAAAGCCAATATGGAGAGCACCTTAAACCTGTATTATTTCTAATGGCCAGCAGGGGGCAACTGATGCAACACCAAAAAAGGTTTATGGTTTTCATTGCTAGTTTCAAGTTTTTGCCTTTGAGACAATATGTTCATTTTGTAAAACTATGATGCAATGTCTATTTTATACTGAAGTCCTGCATTATGCTGCAACACGGGCTCGTGATTATTCCGGTTTAAATTATTTGAGCTCAAAGCATATTGTTTCCCTGACAAAAAGATGATGTGAAATACACCATCATTGGTGCATAGTTTGACTTATAATGAAACCAGATGATCCAACAAGTTTCATATCAAAGCAGAAAGATTAGAAATCAAGTGTTGTCTAGTTCAAACACAGTAATATGACAGATGTTTATAGTGATGACTTCCTTTTTATTCATAGCTATTTCAAGATTCAATATGAACTTTATTAACACATTTGTCTCGGGCTCTTGTCCCATACTGCAGTCATAAAAAGACAACATTCATCATTCACATTAAACTGAAAACATTGAATATTATTGAATAATGTCGGTAAAAAAGAAAAGGATAAATAACATCAGGTTCTTAAAACACCAGTGCAACAACAATTTTATCAACTTAATGGCATGTATTAGAGTTTAAGACATACAGTTAATCCTATAAATGGATGTTTTGTTTATCATCTTTTAGTTTATTTAAATCCTCGGAAAACACATCGAGGGAGAACCCTCGTTTGCCATGGTGCAGAGGTACAGACAACAATAGAAAAGAGGCAAGATACAAATAAAACGAGAGAACACAACAGGAAGTACATTCAATTAAAAGGCAAGAGAGGGCGTGGTCACACTGGCCATCCGTACCGTGCTGTACTCAAGTACGATTGCCCCCCCGCAGCGCCATTCCCCCGCTGGCCGGCGCGGCCCGCGGTCACACTACACAGGACTATCCGTGCCTAAGCACGATTACCTCTTGTACATAACGTCGTAATACAACACATGCACGCTTTATGTTATTATGGAGCGTGCTCAGTTTACAAACAGGCGGACGAGAGAGAGAGAGAGAGAGAGAGAGAGAGAGAAAAAGAGACGTGCAGTCGAGTCCGTGTCTGCACATCAGAGAAAAACACAGAGCATGACAGCTACTTTACTGACTTTACAGCTTATTCTAAGCCATTTTAATCACACACAGCAATAAATAAATTGAAAAATAAAATAGACGCGCGGCCGAGTCCACAGGCGAGTCTGCGGCCGCACATCGGAGAACAACACAGAGCATGACAGCTACTTTGTGGCTTATATTGAGTCATGTTAGTCAGATACAGACATGAAACTCTGGATTTCTCCATAATGAAGGCTGTCAGCGTTGTTTACCTGCGTGCTTGTGCTCGTGCATGAAGTGTACCGTGCTGAAGCACACCTCTCCGAAGTGTGCCAAAGCCAAGGAAGTGTACCGAGCCTGAGCACGATGCGGAGCGGTCACACTGGCCAAACAAACTGGACTTTAGGGTTGAAGCGTGCTTGGGCACGGTACGGATGGCCAGTGTGACCGTGCCCTGAATACAACGAACATCGAGTAAAAATAATTTGAACATTTCAAATATTAAGAGCAAAAACAGTTCAGATCACAAGATCAGAAATGAAAACTTTGAATTGTCTCAGTGTTCTTAATGTGTTGATCTTAAAAGATCTTTGAAGCAGATTCTAAGTGTTTCTCTGCATAGTAACTAAAAGCAGCATAGGTGAAAGATATGGAGGAAGTTTATTTAAAAGGGCTTCATGAATAAATAAATAAATGTGCTGGTCTCCTCTAATAGTAAGAGCAGGCAGGTCAGTTTTCTGATACAGATGACAATGATGTGTCCCATAGCTGTCTCCAGAAATGAATTTGAGTGCAGACTGATACACTGTATCCAAAGGTTTGAAAGCTGTGCTGCTGGCTGCACGTCCATAAATATCATCCCCATAATCACTGACATTTTAATATGAGAGAGAAAATAATCCTTTAATGAAATAACATGGATGTTCTAATATGTGAACATGCAGACATCAGAAGCAGGGGTTTTCTCTGTGCAGAAAAAAGGTCTGCGTCAGTCGGAGCTGCTGTGCTTCATGGCAGTGGGAATTGTGAGGCTTTCAGTTTAAAACTGGCTGATGCAACCAGGTTTATTTTTGGAACCGAGTCGGATGAGCAGCAGACGTGCTCTCCTCTGCAGTATGCTGCAGCTTCCACCACATTACCATTACACCATTAAGTGTATTGTGGTAAAAAAAAGAAAAAAAAAGTAGCTGTAATGTTTCAGACTGAATGTAAGGAGAAGAACATGAAGAACTCTGTGTACTCTTCTCTATGAATCTGTGATTACTTTAAGTGTTTTATTTGTGTCTGCAGCCGTCCCTGGTGCAGGTGGCGTGTTGGTGTATCGGAGAGTACGGAGACCTGCTGCTGAGAGGAGAGTGTCAGGACACTGAGCCTGTTCAGGTACACGGAGCACCAACACAGAACTAAACAACAGAATAAACTAAAGGAGGCTTATTTCAAAATGATATTTCCAGCTCAATAATGTCATCATGACAAAGCAGTCCAAAATGTTGCATTTCATTGTTTCTATAACAGAGTAAGGTTTCTAGTGCAGTGTTTTAGTATGAAGACTTACAGGGCAGATTTATTCTATCAGATCAGATTCTGTGTCTTCATTATTCACTTCATGCAATTCATTTAAGCAAATTTAACACCAGAACCAAAGATGTGCTGTGTTTTATCCTTTATAAAAAAGATAAAGAAATGTTCACTTTTGGACTCTGACATTGACATGTTTTTCAATCAGGTCACTGAGGATGACGTCCTTGATGCCTTGGAAACGGTTCTGCAGTCCCACATGTCGTCACCGGCGACCAGAGGTTTCGCTCTGACCGCCACCATGAAGCTGAGCACACGCATCACTGATAATGTGGAGTAAGAAACACTCACAGCAACCTCAGACTGCATTTAAAACACAGAAACAAGACACAGTGACAAACTAGAGCAGCAATAAGACAGACATGATTTTTTATTGTATTTGTTTATTATTTCAAAGGGAAGAGAAGCATTCAGTAGAAGATCTACATGGTCTGTGTTTGTCACAGCCTGTTAGTTAATGGTTAAGTGGTTAATCACCACCAGGCTGCATTCAAGTGCTACAACCCTTTTCAGTGAGGGCTGAATTCTGCCCTCTCAATTTAAAAAGGCTGATCACACTAACAAAAAAATGTTGAAAATCATTTATTTTCCTTTGTTTTTATAAACTCCTGGCAAAGATTTGATGCTTAAAGGTCACATATAACGAGTGGGCCTCGTTCTTTAACTGAGAAGAAAAATTCACCAAAGTTTTCTTATCTTAACTACCGGTGTATAAGACGCACTTTGAATACCTTTTTTTTTTTCATCTTAAACGTTGGCTTATACACCAGTGCGACCAATATACCAGTATATGCATTTACAGAAAACATTTGTATTGTTCCATAAATAAACCTTGTGGAGTGCTCTTTTGATTGATATTATATTAAAGTTAAAAGAGTGACCAGCGGAGTCGGGAAGAGAGCTCTTGGCTCTGGCAGCCTTGGAAGAGATGTGCTTCAGCGCGGTACAGTTCATCCATTCGCACAAGCATGGGCACACAACCTTCATTGTCGAGAAATCCTGCAGTGTTATGGCTGTATCTGACAAAAATGACTCAATATAAGCCACCAAGTCAGTAAAGTAGGTGCCATGCTCTCTGTGTTAGCTGTACAGGAACCCGACAGTGCATCCCTTTTCTTTTCTTTTTTTCTGGAGTCCTGTCTGGTAAACTAAGGACGCTTCATAATTACGTAAAGTCATGCATGTGTTGTATTACGACCTTATGTACAAACGGTAACCGCGCTCGGGCCCGGTTAATCCTGGAGCAGTGTGAGTGCAGGCCAGCAGGGGAATGGGGATGGGGGGAAATAGTGTTTAAGTACAGTACGGGACAGTTTTGCATTTTGAGGGGCATGGCTTTATTAAATTAAGAACACAGGTGCAAGGATGTCATTACATTTTTTTCTTAGGAACTTTTGTAACAAATCTTGAGGAGGTGAATGAGGCCCAGTGTGATAGGAACGTTCTTCTGTTCCCTAAAAGACACTCACCATGTTGTACATGTTTTGTTGTGTGCATTTAAGTTAAGCAAAATAAATAGGACAACCATACCCCTAGTTTATAAAAATGTAAAGTGCAGTGATTTATCGCTGATTCTCTTACGTCTGCTCTTTCTCCCCGTCAGTCGGATCAGAAGCATTGTCAGCATCTACGGCAGCTGTATAGACGTGGAGCTCCAGCAGAGGGCAGTCGAATACAACGCCCTGTTTAAGAAATATGACCACATGAGGTACGCAGAAGCTTTTTCAAAAAGTGGTGAACTTTTCCTGCTCTTTGTCATGTGTCCATGTGTCTAATCTTCTCTGATGTATGAACTGGGATTAAAGCGTTCAGGGGTTTCTTTACAGGTGGTAGTAGAAACTCTTCTTCTTCCTGGCCATGTCAAGCTGAGATGTGTCCTCTGTCTGCAGGGCGGCTGTGCTGGAGAGGATGCCAGTGATTGAGAAGAACTCTCCGGGTCATACCAACGGAGAGTCAATGGGCGAGACCGTTAAGGAAATCCAACCAGCCAAAGTCAAGCAGGGCGAGCCACTGCTGCCCCCCCAACCTGCTAATCAGGTACATTATAGACCCCAGCTGTAAGATAAGTATGTTGTGACTGTGGAAACATGTATGAAGCAGCAGAGGCTGATATTTTTTTAATGTGCTTAGCTTCAGTTTTTAAATATTTCTGAGTGACATTATCATACCCTCTGTTTCTCAGGAAGTTTATTTCTACAGCACATTTCAGCAGGACGGCATTCACACGAAACATCGAAAGCATCATGACAAAGAGAAAAAGAACATTTAAAAATCACTAAAACGACCAATCAACACAGAGGAAGTTCAATTTGAAAATATTGAATACAATTCAAATGGAAAGATCCAGAAGAACTACAGACATGTGACATTAAGTGGAAAAAAAGACATTTACATAAAATATCTATAAATAACCTCACATGTGTAATGGGGATGTTATCTGCTCTGAAGACCCCGACTACAGGGTCTTGCTGTCCCGACACTGATTCACCTGCTGGTCTTGCCTAATTGAGATTGGTTTAGGCTCACAGTTTGCTCCATCTGTGGAGGCCCTTGAAACCCCACCCAAGGGTGCTGTGGTGGTGAAAATCCAGTCATGTCTTTCTTGCTGTTTCAGAAGTACAGCCTGTTTGTTAAAGCACTGAGCAGATTTTATTTTACTTACTACAGTGTCTTCAACTAACATTTCCAGTTCCATGGTGTGTTTTTATTCATGGTAAGTCCAACTCAGCAGTTGTCTCCTCATGTTGGTACTTTTCCTCAGGTGTGTGACCTGCTCGACCTGCTGGGCGGCGCTGAAGAGACTCCGCAGCTGAGCCCAGCGGTGAGCGGTTTAGCACCAGGACTGCCCATCAACACACTCAGCACTGCTGGAGGAGACCTGCTGGATCTACTGGGAGGGTTAGAGCCTGCGCCTGCCGCACCAGGTCTGACCCTCACACACACACGCACGCACGCACGCACGCACACACACACACACACACACACACACACACACACACACACACACACACACACACACACACACACACACACACACACACACACACACACACACACACACACATACACACACTATGCAGAAAGGGTTAAGGAAAGTGTAAGCAATTGTCTGGACAAAAAGTAGGGAATGTAAAATCATTGCTCAGTTGACATTCTTTGTTTTCTTTTTTTACATCTTTTTCTCCACAGCTCCCACAGTGCCGGCATATGAGAAAGACGGCGTGACTCTGACACTAAGTTGTGAGAAAACGTCAGACTCAGGCCTCACAGTCACACTAACAGCCTCCAACTCCACCGACTCTGACATCAGCAGCTTCACCTTGCAGGCTGCCGTGCCCAAGGTTTGTCTCACTGCATCGTGTTCATCGTGTTCATCGTTCACCACGTTCATCGTGTTCACCACGTTCAGATAAACTCACCAACAAGTAGCCATCTCTGTCAACAGGGAGGTTTGTCCAAGGTTTACAGAAAAGATAAAGGCATAACGGACATTTTTAGGAGTTATATATTTCACACTGCTGTGTCGCATACAGACATGCATATGTCATACACATAAAATACAACTTTTAAAAGGAAACACAGTAGAAAGACTGTGTCTGGTGAGGTAAGAAACCTGAAGAGGGCTCTCTCTGTCTCTCTGCTTCAGTCATAGACACACACACACACACACACACACACACACACACACACACACACACACACACACACACACACACACACACACACACACACACACACACACACAGCGACATTGCTGCATGTGACGTCTTTGTTGTTGTTCTTTCCTGATGCTGTTCGGTTTAGGACCATTCGCACCTGAAACTGACTCAGGCCACATGGTTAAGAAATGAATGTAAACATGGGCTATAAATCAGAATTGAGGCTTGAGGCATGCAGTGTGAACGTAGTCTAATACACAAACTGTCTTTCTGCACCGGGTAGGAGTTGTTTGCAGGGTTGTAAACATGTTTCCATGGTAAGCCTGTGCTAGGTGCAGTTCATGAAGCGGTGAAACATGCAAATGTTTAGTCACGCAATGCTTCAAAGTTCTCTTTGTCCTCCCCACACACACACACACACACACACACACACACAGAGTGTCCAGTTACACATGAAGGCCCCCAGTGGAGATGCTCTTCCTGCAAGAGGTGCAGCGAAGGTGACACAGATGGTCATCCTCAACAACCCCAACAAGGTGGGTTTGATTTAAGATATTTTACGATCCTCTTTTTCCCCATACCGATTCTCATATGTAGACTGGAGGATTTGGTCGGTAATAGTCGGTTACCAAACTCTATTGAAGAGTCCCTGTAAGGAAAAGCTGGCGACCAAGCTCTTTCAGGAACCACCTACACAGTAACAATATTGATGCCATGTGATGTTGATTCATTGTTTTGCTGCTAATAGATTGATGGATTGACATGCATTCCTACTCATACCCAATCAGTGTGTAAAGGTCACATATTCTCCTCCTTTTCAACAAGTTTCAAGTCTCAGAGCTCCACAAAACATGCCTGTAAAGTTTCTTGTTCTAAATCCACTCTGATCCTGTATTTGATCATGTCTATAAACCCCTCTATTTCAGCCCTGCTCAGAACAGGCTGTTTCTGTAGCTTTAAATGCAAATGAGCTGAGTCTGACCACGCCCCTCTAGGGAAGGGGATGTGGCTTGGGTTCTCTTGCTCCATGTCCGATTGTTTACGGTGAGAAGGCAGACTCAGAGGGCAGAACAAACACCTAGCTGTGGGAGGGTCACCCACCTGGGGGAGGGGCTACTGCCCTTTGTGATGTCATGAAGGGAAAATCTTCAAACAGCCTGTTTGAGCACACATGCTGGGGATTTGTAGACAGACTAGGGACACATATTAGAGTTAGAAAAACATGGTCATGTGTATTTTTCATAATGTGTGACCTTGTTGTGATAAAGAGAAAAACATCAAAGTTTTAGTTTTAAAATTCATGTTTCATGTTTATCCCTCTCACAGTGGAAACAGAGCTTACACTAACTGTCTGTACTCTTCTCACAGGTGAACCTGAAGATGAGGATCCGCATATCTTACACCAGACAAGGCTCGGCCTTTCAGGACACGGTTCAGATCGACTCCTTTCCTTGAGTCGTTGCTGCCAGACACTGACAGCAGCCTGTCGGTCTAACAGGACTATGACGACTGTCCCTGGTTGAGTCAGCTTCGTTCTGCTTTTGACAGCGCCGACCCTGCAGTCCAAACTGCTGGGACTTTCTCTCATTACTGATTTGATTCTCGTTACCGCAGAACACTCGTCCCTCACATGAACTCATCGTTTCTCCCTACTCTTGATTCCAGGTGTAAACGGCACTGATGGTGTTGTTTGATACACAGCTTTCAAAAAGGCTGGTATAAGATGGAAACACTCAAATATATATATGAGATCTATGAAATGACATCTGTCAGTGGAAAGTTTGAACCATTCAGGGATATTTAACAGCTGCTTTTCTATAAAATGTTATACTCCATAAAAGTTGACTTCCTGGGTCTCCTGTCACTCAGATCGAGCCACTAGATCAACTTTCCCCTCATGTTTCCTCCCACTGAAGCGTTTTCTTTAATCTAACACTTGCTTCTACCATTGTCATTAAAAAGGTAGATTAACAAATGACACTACTACTATTAAATCATGCTCTCATCCAATACACGTGGTTTTAATGGGAAATGCACGGACTTGATGTAGAAATGGAAGGATTTTTATCACCACCTTGTCTTCAGTTGTTCCCGTTTTCCAAACTTCATTCAGCTAACCCATCTCCTAAGTAATTCCCCTGTGCCTTTCATTCTTTCAAGAACTGCGGGTTTTTATCATGTACGAGAGAATATTTAGTTTGAGAAAGCAAAGAAATGGTTTAAATGTAAGTGGTGTTGCTGTTTTAACCTGTCTGTCACTCCTGTTGATAGGTTTCACCTTGACTACTGTTTACAGAGGCTTCAGAGTTTATTTTATGGAGACTCTATAAATATAAGAGATGGCCATGACGCCGTCCGAAAGTTCTCTATTTTACCTGTTAAGCACATTAAGAGTTTTGAGAATCTCTTACACAACCATTTTTGTAGAAGGAAAATGAAATGAGCTGTAAAACACACTTATCATTTATTTCTTAATCATGGAGCTCTGTAAAAAAAAAAAAAAAAAAACACTCTGGAGACTGTTAATGTCAGTGATGGTGCTCCACTTCAGTGAAATTTCTACCAGACTGTTTCAAATCACATTAGCTAAACTGTAAAGAAAAGGCCATGAGGAGTATTCTGTGCGGTGTGTACACTGTCTTTAAATCTTCAGTTTCATGTCATTTTCTTATAAAAACAAAATCAGTTTTCAGGATCCTCAGCTGTGACTGGTCTTGGTGTCTGTGTTTGGAGTGTGTAAGTGTGTGCTGCGTCAGAGGACCACGCTTCAATCAACTTCACCATTTATTCACAAGCAAAAAAAAGACCACAGTGTTGTAAAACTGTCTTTTGTACAGCATGGGTGCCTGCATCAACTGGTCAAACTCAGAATGCCAATGTGGGTTTACAAAAAGAAAGAAAGAAAAACGTCTACATAGGAATCAGAACGTCCTTTTTATCTTTGTTGCTGTTGGTGGATTTTTGTATTTGCTGCGGTCCGGGAGCGTGGGATGTCAGATCTCTGTGTTGTAACATGGTTAGACTGAGACAGACACCGTAAGCATTGGCACTCAGCCGGCCAAATCACAACAGCCAATCAGGACAAGGAGGAGAGGAGTGTGTGGGGCCTGTGGAGCGTAGAGCCGCCTCTTAGCGCCAACACAAGATGGAGCACAGAGCCTCCCTGGATCTTGTAGTCTGCAGCCGTCTTCTCATCATTCCTGAGGGGCAAAAGAACACAGGAGTGAGCGCGTGATGGTTCAGGAGAGATCTGCAGTTCAAGGTAGTTCATGGTGGGGGGAACTCACATCTGTTTTCCACTGTAGATGAGTCTCTGTTGCTGTGGAGGGATCCCTTCCTTCTCTTCCACCCTTTCTTTAATCCGCTCCACCTTCATTCACACAGAAAAAAAACAACATTTAGAAGTCGTAAAGCTTCTCCAGAGTCTATTTTTTTTTAATCTCACAGGGAAAATCTTTAGTCACCTTGTCTGTGGGCTCAATGTCGATCTCTATTTCTTTTCCAGTGAGAGTCTGAAACATAACGTTGACATGATCAATAAGAAACTTTGGTACAACATAAGAAAAAATCCAACCATAACGATACCTGCTTCAATAGCACGGCAGGTGATTAATGTAAAAATCAAGATTCTTATCTTCTATAATTTAAAATCGATTCAGAACATTCCAAAAACCTGCTTTTTTAATTATTTTGGGCTAATCAGTCACGAGCTCTTTAACTCAGAAGAATGCCAAATAGAGCAACAATAAATGTAGCCAGTCTCACAGATGACTGTTAAAGATCCTGAAGTATGTACTCATTCATAAATAGACTTTGAATCATGAATTGTTTTGAATCAAATCGTGAGAGACCCAAAGATTCCCAGCCCTAACAGCAGGTAATAAGACCAAGACACTCATTGTTTGGTTGTTTCTTGTTTTGGATTCACAGAAATTGCAGGAAAACGTTTAGATAACTTCAATATATTTGTAAAGTTTATACCATGTCCTCCCCTCTGCTCGCTGACTATGTGACATCCACGTAACTTTCACATGTAAATGAGATGAAAAGAACTTGAGAAATGTCAGTATTTGCCGCCCTTCAAATTCCCTCTCTCCCTCAAGAAACATGACTGAAGGTCTGTAGGCATTTTAAAGCTTTGGTACTTTTCGGTTCTATTGATCGTTGAAAAATCAGAGATTGTATCGGTTTAACACACAGTATCCAGAAATTATTGAAAAAAGATTAAAATTGTTGAAAACTTAATTACTTAGTTTTTTAAACAATATTGTCACAGTTAATGTTTTTCACATGGCCACACGTTGTATTTTCACAGCTATTAGTAGAAAAGGTTCTATCAAGCATGTAAAAAGGGATGACAATGATTTATACAGGGCGGCTAGTGATTCATTTTATTACCGATTTATTGTAAAGCCATTATACATGAGGAAATGGGAGACAAAAAACCTTGTCACACTCAAATGTTACTAACGGGGCCTAAATAGACGTCATTAGAAGTGCTGTTCCTTTCATAACCCTGACTTTAAATGACAGCTGAGTTTTCATGTGCACTGACTCGCCCTCCACCACTCTCTCACGTTGCTGTTGAGTAAGTAATGCTTCTCTTTCTTAACGCTCCTCTCTGTGGGACAGAGGCTACTCCACAGCTGGGACTCACCCCTCACATATTCAGGACTGCACTGACCCATCCACATTCAAATCACACATCACGACTAGTTTATACAGTGTTAGTTATTTGACCTGTGTGTAAAGTCTGTTCCGATCTTTTTATTTTTAAACTAATGCACAGTGTCTGTGTGCTTGAAAAGCGCTTTATAAATAAAAACTTATTATTTTTTACTCTTGGTGCAACAACAATAACAGAGCTTTTTGTTGTTGAGTAAGATTTGGTTCGCTTAATCATCAAGTAGAGTTTGTCTGTGTTGAAATTGAACAGACCCAGGGACAGAAATGGATGTAGAGATGCTGACTTCACCTGCTCAATGTGAGAAAAAGACACAATGTGCGATAACATTGTTCAGTATTGCAGTGACGACGTGAATCGCAATAAATAAACAGAAAACTAAAAGAGTGCATATTAGCCAAAAAAAGCAGTTTCAATGTCTATCTACTGTTTGTTTCTTTTCATCACACAACACAAGTGTTTACATGTCCCTCCTGTTTCTCAAATAAATTGGCACCAATTAATCTAAGGCAGGGTTGGGCAACTGGCCCCCCATCAACCCTCAACGTGGCCCTCAGGTCAATTTTTTACACATCAATTAATTGAAAACATGAAGAAATCTGCCATGAAATCATGAAAAAACAGAAATATGTCCATAATAATATTTGATCACTGGTATATGTGGAGTTAAATTTGAGACATAATCGTTTTTGTATTCTCTGGCAGTGAGAATTAAATGAATGTGGCCCCCTGCTGTGACCCATCCCTGCTCTAAGGGGAACTTTGGGTACCATGGATTAATATGGTGTGAACACAGAGTATATACCCACTTACTGTTCAGTCTCCATGGGGTATCCACACTCTGATTCACACCATTGATGGATTGGAAATATTCAGCAGTAGCAGGTATGAAGGGACGACCCTCCTAACTCTGTCTATACACACTCACTGGATGAGCCTCTTAAAATAAGAGTATATCCACACCATGTATGTGAACATCCAGCCGGTTAAACACATGCTGACTCTGCTCGGTGTGTTTAATTGTTCCTCAGTCCTCTCAGGTTTTGTTTTGGAGGCTAACCTGCTGATGAAGTTTAGCAGGCTATCAAATAACAAAAGCTCCCGACCGGCGCCCAAAATAGAAGCATGCCAAAAGCTCGTTGGTGTCCAAACATACCCACAAAGAAATGAAACCAATGTCAGCAGAGTGTGAATCACATGCGAACAAGATTTAATTATAAAAACCCAGAAATAGATTAAGCGGACTGGCCAGTGGTGTTAGCATGCTAGCCAGCGTTAGCATCTAGGAGCCGGCGTAGAAGTAGAGCCGTAAATAAAACAATGTTCTTACCTTAACTTTGATCAGCATGTTGACTGAAGAGTGAATTTATATACTAAAAAGTGTAATCTGACCAAAACACTTGGTAAACTAGCGAATTACAACCTGCTCGTCTGGATGACTTGAATTTGCTTCCTGTGTACACAACTAAACGATCCGGACTGATGTGACGTCAGAGCGCACGGAAACAAGGTTCCGCTCTATCAAATAAAGTCAGCTATTCTCTTTTTTTATTCCTCAACACTTAGGCAGTTAAAAAAAAAAAAGATTCAATTAAAATAGATATTTTAGTAGAAAACTGAAAGAAAACTCCGCTTAAATGAAACGAATGATAGTGTTTTTGTTATTGTCACTATTATGCCCTTAAAAGTAAGTACTAGTGTTAGCCATCGGTTTTTCAAATATTTCTGTCAGTTTATTTCATGACAGTAAAATAAACACATACAATACACAAAAAGCACACATGCTCACATGTTCATTCAAAATAACACAAAGAGTTTCTAGAACTTGCACTTGAGTGGTTTAATCAGAATAATATTGTTTTAAAAAGGAAACCAGTTTTGAGTGTAAAAATATTAATCTGTGAAATAATAGCTGTTAAATGAGAAAAAACACAACATCTGCCAGGTAACATATGAGAGGTATAATGAGTAAATTAATAAGGAAACACTAGTGAATTAAAATTCAACTTTAAACAAAACTTAATTAACGTTTTACATTTCAATCCTGTGTTTAAAGTGAAGGGAATACAAATACAACTGTGAGAATGTTGAAAAACACCACAGAGGAAGAAGAGAGGGGACTAAATGCTGTGCTGATCCCACACAGATGTTGATCATTCAGCTAATTTGTCAGGAAGTCTATATATTGTGTGAGCTCTAGTGGGAGCAGGGTCCTTCAGTCATGGTGACTCATCTCTACCTAGGTGTGATAATCGTGGCTGTTTTTGCAACAGTTGCAAATGCAGGTAGGTATCTGTGTTATGTGTGCTATTAATGTTTTTTTGGAACATTTAATGTGGAGAAACAGGGGTCAAAATTAGAATTTGTTTGCAGAGATCAATGTTGTCTGTGAAAAAGACTCTGTGAAGATCACATGGAGGATCCCTGCAGAGGGCGTGCCACATGCAGCTCGTCTGTTCCTGGGAAACTGTATGGCATCTCAGTTTAAAGTTCTGCCCACCGGGGAGGGCGAAGCTCAGTTCAACTACAAGTTTGTTGACTGCAAATTTACAAAACTGGTAATCTTGTGCCTTTATTTCACTAAAACAGTTTTCAGTCACTCCTGGAGTCCTAATATCTGTTTTTCTACAGCTGAAAGGAAAGAAGCAGCTTTTTCAAAATGAACTGACCTACAGGCCAAAAGCAAAGGGTCAACCTGCAGCGTTTGTGTATCCCATCGAGTGTGTTTATAAAAGGTAAGGTTAGCACTGTATTTATCTTTGAATGCACAAGACTCATACTGTTTAGATGTCATGAGTTATTTCCTGCTTTAATGTTGTGAGTTCAGCACAGATTTATCTTATCTGTTTTTGGACACTGAAAGCTGAAATGACTGCATAGGAAACACTAATTTTATATTTCAGGCCTGAGGGCTGGGTCCCCCCTTTCCTGAACCCTGGATCAGGACTTTCTGAAGGTCGAGGCGGACTGGTCTTCCACATGGCGCTCCTCGATGGTACATTTTCACACTGCTGAACACAGCTTGAGGATAAGAAAGACATTTCAAACATCTTTACTTACCCCCCCTCCCCCCCAACAGAGCAATTAACTGGTATAGCAAAGACTAATATCATCCCGCTGGGCTCCTTCATGCCGATATGGGCGGCAGTGGAGCAGAAGTCCCATCAACCCTTGCTGCTGCTCATGGAGGAATGTTTGGCCACCACCACTCCAGAGCTGCAGCCTAATAGCCAGGTTCACCCAATCATCACCAACAAAGGGTAGGCTTGGATGTAGATGTGTCTTTGAGTTGTTAAAGAATTAAAATTTTGAAGCTAAGGTAACATTTAAATTGAATCCCTCAGGTGTCTGGCGGAAAGCATGACGGGGAACTCAAAGTTCCTCCCTCGGTACCACTCGTCTTCTGTCGTCCTTTACCTGCAGTCCAAGTTTGGTCTTGGACAGGAGGTGAGAGGGGGTTTAAAGATCATTGTGACAGAGAATATTTTGAACATAACCATTTTGAACAAGGCTGATGTGTTCCCTAGGTTTACATTCACTGTAAACTGGTCGCATGGGATCCACAAGTTCTAGATGAAAGCAAGAAGGCCTGCCATTATGTGAAGCCAGACATGAGGTATTTCATAAGACTGGATTTGCCATGACTTGAAACACGTTAACATTTGATTGAGATCATGAGAAATACAAATTATTTTCATGTTCTGTGCTAATGCAAAACGTAAACTATTTTGTGCCGGTTGGCCTAACGGATAGCTTGCTCGTCTGAGATTTAAAATCCTTTCCCAAATGTCATTCCCCACTTTCTCCCTCTCCCAGTTACTGACTATAGCCACTGGCTCATTCCAATAAAAGCATAACATTTGAATATTAGTGATTAAAGAAAAAAACATGGCTGTTTAAAATTTCTCAGTATCCTTACATTTCAATGACTCTCTCTACGTCTGCTCAGATGGGAACTACTTGATGACCCTGCTCGGAGCTCCATCTGTAGCTGCTGTGACTCAACCTGCAGGTCTCGCTCCAGAAGAGGAGTTGATGCAGGTAGTAATTTTTCAAAAAAAATCTGAGGGAGTTTGTCTTTGCTTATTTCATGTTTCCTTGAGCCTCTTGTTCCCCGTCAGAATCCCGTGGCTTCAGTTACAATTCTGTGTTGGGACCTCTGATCATTGTGGATCCATCTGACTCAAATGCTGACAGCATGTCTAAGGTCTGTCCCTAAAACTGTAATGATGTGCCATTAGGGTTTATGGAGTGTTTCCTGTTTAACACTGGATGTGATGACTGATGTTTAACATTTTCTCGACAGAGTCCGTTGTAAACTGAAGGATGCGCTTATGATCGTGCGAAACAGGAGAGCCGGATGCAGACAACCTCAGCATCCCGACTAATACTTGTTGTGATGTCAGCTTCATATGCTCTATTAAAACCTCTGCATTAGTAAATCTGGTTTAAACTCCTGAGATTCTGTTTTTTCCCCCCCCTCTGTGTAGCTGTAGTCTTTTTGTCCCTCTGCTCTTGAAACACACTTGAAACTGCTGCTTTTTCAACACTTCACAATTTCTATGGAGGTGATTAGTGATGACAAAGCTAATTTGAAAATCAAATGCATTAACAGAAATGCTTTTTAATTTTCAGAATATGAGTGCATTATTTGACTCAAAAATAAAATTATGATTAATTTCACGTTGCGTTTTCAACTTAGAAAATGCACATTCTCTGACTAAATTAAAATGACATTTGCTTTATCATTTAAAAAAAAAAAAAAAATGCCCTGATAAATTTGTATCACAATTGAAATGAAAATACAGTGAAAGAAACACGTTTTAATTTTCAGAATATAGGTGCATTATTTGACCTATATTCAGTCATCCAGTTTGCATTATACTTTTGCTCTCTATGTATGCATATTGTATGATATAATTCAAATGAAAACGAAAAGGTCTTTGGCTTTTTGTTTTCAAACTTGCCGTGCTAAAAGTGATTGATTAATTAATTCAAACCAACTTAAAAACGAAATGGCGACGTGGACAGCGCAGGAAAGGCATGTCAGACTCCAGCTCCCAGGCAGGTGTTTTTTTTTTTTTTCATTTGAATGGTGTCATACAACATGCATAGAGAGTAAAAGTATAATGCAAACTGGATGATTGAATATTCATTGTAAATATAGGTCAAATAATGCACCTATATTCTGACAATTAAAACACGTTACTGTATTTTCACTTTAAAATTAGCTTTTTCATTTGAATTATGATGCCAATTTAGTGGGGCATTTTTTGAGAATGATAAAGCAAATGTCATTCATTTTCTTTATAATTTAGTCAGAACATGCATTTTTGAAGTTGAAAACTAAAATTCAAATAAATTAATCATTTTATTTTTGAGTGAAATATTCTGAAAATTAAAAAGCATTTCTGTTAATGCATTTGAATTTTCAAATTAGCTTTATCATTTGAATTCTGATCACTAATCGCTTCCATAAAGGATCACATTTTAAGGAATTATCTTGAACTAAAACACAAGGATGGAGACTTTCAAGTCCTACATTCACATACTGAATGTTTTGATCAAGCTGTTGGTTCTCTGTATTGTCAAATGAACTTGTCCAATATCATGTCGACTAACTTGATTACAAACTTGGGCTTCACACTGAAAGAGCTGCCTGAATTATTTGTCCTGTTATGTAGATGATGTGACCTTGAGGTAAACATGACTATCTCTGTGGTTTGTGATTTAGATGATGTACAGTAGCCTCTGCATTGGGGAAACTGATATTCAATTTCCCACCAAGTCATTCAATTCTGATGCAGTACTTTCACACTGAGGAAGCATTGCATCGGACTATTTACAACTGAGCTCTAAAAAGAACATGTGTCTCAACATGGTGAAAAATGTTCTGTCTGTTACCGCTTCAGTTGAATGTCTATCACTTCACAAATATAAAATCAACATGTAACCATTAAGAGACAGTGGTTATGTAGTTAAAAATAAAACCACAACTTTTCTAAAGTGTAAGAAATTACAATTATATATCAAACAGCATGACATATTATTTCATAATACATATGCTGGTGATCAAGCTTCACCTCAAATGAAATCCTTCCCAAGCTGTCTTGCATCAGGCTGATCATTGCTGCGCCTGAGATCGTTGAAACCCGTCAGGTGAAAGAGATTGTCTTAATTGAGGGTTCCTGGTTAGAATGAATAAAACCAAACACAGCAATAATAACAAGTGTTCAGTCATGATGACGTCTATAGGTGTACTGCTGTTGAGCCTGGTAGCTGCCATGTCAGTATATGCAGGTAGTACTGGAGTGAAAGTCAGGGTTTTTGGTGTTTGTCAGTGAAACGAAAGTCCTTTGTGTTTAAACTTACGGTATGTGTGTTGGAACCTTTTCAGACATGAACCTGGAGTGTGGGCCTGGTTTTGTGACCGTCGTGTGGACAGAGCACAGAGCTCAGGTTGACACGTCACTCTTTCGTCTTGGGAACTGTTACCCCACCAGCCTGTCTGCTAGGGAGGCTGTTTTCAATGTGGACGTCAATGATTGTCACTTCAAGAGACTGGTGAGCTGCTGACTGATCTGCCAGTTTAAACTATATTTCCTACAGCTGCTTGACATGTTTCTCTCTGGTAGGTTACTGGTAATCAGATGACTTACACCAATGACCTGGTCTACATTTCCTCTCCTGATTCTCACATTGCTCCCTTCACTCACCCGGTCGTCTGTGTGTATGAGAGGTGGGTGTTCAATCAATCAAACCAATGTTAAGTGGTAATCACTTCTGCAGATGTTACTGTGTAAATGTGTTTTTTATTATGTGCAGGCCCAAAGACTGGTACCCCATGATCTATGACCCAGTGTTTAACACATATGGTGACGGAGAGCTGGTGTTCCACATTGGACTAATGAATGGTGGGTGTCAAACATGACCTCATGGGGAATTGCAGACTTTGTGCAGGAACTCCTGCAACTTAAAGACTTCGTTTTTCATGTACTGCTTCAGATGACTTCTCAGGCCCGGCTGAATCCACCAGCTTCCCTCTTGGCTCCTTCATCCCCGTCATGGCCAGTGTGGAGCAGAAAACCCATCAGCCCTTGCTGCTGCTGCTGGAGGAATGTGTTGCTTCAACTACACCAGAGCTGCAACCTGGGAGCCGTATGTTCCCAATTATCACCAATAAGGGGTACGTTTGCTACTGTACGAAAGCAAAAAGGATTTTTTTTTTTTTTTTTTTTTTAAAAAGCTGTAGAGAAAGTGAGTAACACCGACTGTGTCAAACCTGCAGATGTTTGATGGACAGTAAGGTAGCCAGATCACGATTCGAACCAAGGCAAAAATCTTCAGAGATCCACCTATCCCTTCAAACCTTCAGATTTGCTCTGGGAGAGGAGGTATGCTTTATGTTCTGTTAATACTGCATGTGCATTTTTCAAAAGCTGGGCTTTATTATTTTTAGTAATTTAAAAATGGTGGCACTCAAATGTGTTGCCAACGACGATCTTGTCATCCTCAACAGGTTTTTATCCACTGCCAACTAGTCGCTTGGGCTCCCGAGCTTCTTGACCACACCATGAAAGCCTGCCACTATGTCAAGGATTACGGGTGAAATATCAGAGTTTCAACTACATCTGAATACAAAAATGAAGTGCTGTTTTCAAGAGCTGTAACATGACTAATTCAATTGGATGAGTCTTATCAACTGAAGTTGGAAATCTGCTCAACGTTTCTTGTTCATTATCATCCCTCAAACCTCTTTGAATTCAGTTGGGTGCTGCTGGACAATCCTGACTACAACAATCTTTGTGACTGCTGTGAATCCAGCTGCAAATCCAGGAGGAGGAGGAGTACAATATCTGGTATTTATTTGTATTCTTGGTCGCATGAGTCTGCTTTTTTTTTTCATTTTTTTTTTCAGCTGTACTGAAGTTGTTTATTCTTGCTTTCAAAAGGGAACCATGGAATAATGCAGAAAGCTGTGCTTGGTCCGTTGACCATCACTGATGTGACGTCCTGACGTGTCTTTGGGGTATGATTAATTTACCTTGTAATTAAAGGCAGATAATTTGTTAATGGCGAGAGAGAGAGAGAGAGAGAGAGATATATATATATATATATATGGCGTAAGAAGTTCTGTATTTAACTTGGAAAGGAAAAGCAATAATGACTTGACACAAACACTCACTTTTTCTCCATATTTTACAAAGTGTTTCTCCCCACAGGCCTGGCTCCATGTCAAGACTGGTTCCTTCTGAATTTTGTTTTTATTCTTGGTTTAAAGCTGAATGCCTGCCTGTATCTACATTTCAGATTGTAATATAAAGATGTTGCAAAACACAAACTCACTTGGCTCCTTGATTAATTTGGAAGAGCGTAATGTTTCTAACAGTGTAAACATCTTGTCAGGCGCTTCATAAATGAGAAGGTAAATGTGGAATTTCTGAATGAAGCAGTTTAAATATATAGCTATTACCAAGATGCCTTATAGTACTTGACCTTTCGCTAACTTGCTTATTTGTACAATGAGCATCTGTAATTCTTTCAGCCACTGTCAGGGGAGAAGTTCCTTTAAACTTATTAAGCCATATCTTGACACTTTTGACAGGCTATACGGAACAACCATTTCCTGTGCTATGAAGACCAGGGCCATGACTTGGATAAAGGTGGATGGACTGAATTAAATCACACCTAAAATGTTTATGCATGGTGAATGGTACTGTAGATGCATAATCACTTTGAGGCATGCAGCCAACACCGTGAACCCGTTGGGTGAAGGAACCATGTTCCAACAACACCTATCTCCCACACAAAACCTTGCCGAGGTATCTTGTTTAATATACCTGTATTTTTGAGAAATTAAAGCCTTGTTTATTTCACCAGATAATTGAGACCAATAGTTCTCACAAGGTGACCGGCTCTAGAGCAGCAGCACACACAAATGTTACATGATTAAATGGGTTACAAAGTAAAAGCAAATTATTAAACTGTGCAAATTACTTTAAAAATGAAGTGCAGATGTTATGACAGGGTAAGAATTACTGGCTAGGCTAGATAACAAATGTCTCTTTTTACATTTACCTTACTCATAAACTTCACCTGAGTGTATATAAGGATGACGTTAACCATTCAATTGAAAAACTTCTGCTTATTAACAAATCAACACAGCCGTAAATCACTGACTGTACGTCACTCCACCGATCAACAGAGTGGAACTATCGCGAGAGGAGAGACGCGCGGGATTTGAGCCGACTGAAAAACTTCAGTCCAGAGAACTCCCCTTAGTTTAAACTGAGAGGAGCATAATGTAAGTAATTATAAACAACACAGAATTAACGAGTGGCAGACGACCATTTCAGACAACTCCTGAAAGTTGTGTTTATTTGTTCGACCTTTGTTGATGAATATTCATCTAAACAAACAAGGGAATTTGACCGTTTTAAGCTAGCGAGCAAACCCGGACGGTTGGTGGTCTATAATAGTTTATTATTATTATTATATTACAGTATATTCTGTTTTGTGTGAAGTGGTATCTTCAGTAGATAATTCATACAAATGCTGAACTGGTTCAGAGTTTGGGTGTAAGCTTTAAATCTTAGGTTTTTGAGTTTTAGTTTAAGTCCTAATTCTTGAACTGAGTTCAGGTAATAAAAATGTTAAAAACATTTAACTGACAGCAGTATACAGAATAAACCAATATAGTTTAATTTACCTTTAGCATAGTCATCTCAGTAGTTACCCTAACTCCTACAGTACATTATAATATCTCATTTCTGGATCAAAAATGTACAGATTGAGGGGCCAAATAACAACGATATATCCAGAGGTAATCTGCACAATGCCATGTTATAAACAGGTTGTTTGGTGTTCATGGATAGACTTTGTAAAAAGGAGACTTTTCCTTTTGGTTTCAAGAGCAGGCAGTGCAGAAATGCCTCAGGTGTTCATTCACGCCACAGTTTATGAAAGAAAATCCAATTGTATGGAAACTCATCCTTCTTTCCACTTGATTCATTACATCAGTCGATTATTCCTAATGAGGTTTTGGTCTCAATAACTCCATTGGGGACCTGCCAAGCATGATAGAGTCATAGCATCATGTCTCAGTCCTCCTGTCCAGACATGGTCTCTCCTGGCTAAAAAAACAAACTAGGATGGCAACAGCAAACATGCGGGTCTTGAGGGTCCAGGCTGGTAATCTACAATCCAGTGAGGCTATGTCAACATTGTGTACATCATTTTCTTTTATGAAACATTGCAGAACCTTTCCCAAACTGTTGCGACAGAGATACAATGATGTTTAAAAGATTGTATCATTATCATGATTCGCTGTTTCCTCTGAGGCAGAGTCAAAATATAGGAAAACAACCCTGTACTATATACAAAAATAATGTGATGGTGTTGTCCTTCTACTTATTGTCACTTTCTGTGATATTTGTTGTTACATATTTACATCTGTGTATTGAAATCTAACGATTGCAGACAAATAAACCAGCAGAACTAGAAATGGACTGGTTCCACTGCAACCAGTGCTTCACGAGGAGGGGATCCAAGTTTGCCGTGTCCAGCTGTGGCCACATCTGCTGTGAAGCATGCATCAAAACTAGTAAGAAAAATAATCCACTTCCTGCCCTGAATGATAAGTTCATTTTTAAAAACTATGATTACCAGACATTTCAAATTAAGAATGACTTTCTGGCTTCTTATGTCTCATCCTTTTCCCACAGAGCAGTGCAGCATATGTGGAACAAGCTGCAGTTATTTGCCCATCACAGAGGAGGTTGGTGAAGTAACTGTCTGAGACCACCACGAGAGAATGACCTTATTTAACATAACCGCCTTCTTTCTTTCAGATGAAGCCACAGGAAAAGGTGTTTTTCAAGGACCCTGTGAAGCTCATCCAATCACGGCTGGAGCACATTTTGCAGGTCCGTCCCTCTGTGCAGCGCTCGCCCAAAGCTCCCTCGCTGTTGCCCTTTTAATTGCAGCACTAGTGTGTTAAATGTCAGAGCAGTCAGTCAATTAATGAGTCATTCGACAAGAGACTGCTGGAGTCACAGTGATAGTTGACAAGGTTAAAAGCATCATTTAGGATTTATGTAAAATCATTTAGGATCTCTGAGTTACGACACCAAAGTCAGTGTTGATTGTTATCTTTTTTCACTTTTTGAAATATTTGATGTTGAGGTCTTCATTTCCGCCCAGGTTGCCCTTTTTCAGCGATCACAGATGGAGCGAGTTACAGCGTACTTCAAGCACAAGTCTGTTGAACTGGACAAGCGTCTGAAAGAGGTCACCGAGCAGAGTTACAGGTGATTTTAGTCGGTCTTTTAGTTGTTCTGCTGTGGCTGTATAAGTATAACCTCCCACATAGTACAACGCAACTCTTCCTACGTCTGCTATCATAAGGCAACTCTCCGAACTGAAGAGAGAGAATGCTGACTTGAAAAAGCGGCTTTCAGAGCTGAAGAAGGAGACCGCTGAATTGAAGAAGCCACTTTCTCAGAGGAGGGTAAGTGAGCCAACAAAAAAACAAAAAAACTGTTCAGGTTAAAGGTGTGTGTATAATTAATCAAGCTTGTTCTGTTTGTAACAGATTTCTCCAGGACAGTTTCTAATGGAAGGGTAAAAATTATTTCGATTTGAGGACCTTCTTTTTTATTTTTCAGTAGTTTCTTCAAAGTAATTTTGGACGATGCATTTATAACGTTTTGTCTTTTTTTTTTTTAGTTCTCAAAGAATGTCCCGTCCCGTCGCTGTCACGTCTCCAGGTAAACCTGTTGATAAAGTAATGATTGTTTCAACTGTTGTTTGTCATTTTATATTTTTTTAATCAAGTTGATGAGTGTTTACATGTTTTTTTGTTACCTAGTTACCCCTCGCTCCAGGCCGATGAGGTATGTATTCCATGTTCCTGCTATTGTAGAGTTCGCGCTTAATTTCCACGATTATGAAAACAAGAATATCGAGATTAAACAATCGCTTTTCCGCGTGCCATGTTGCATCGTGTTGAATAATGGTGATCTCAACATCAATCTAAATAATCTTGATTATGATTTGTGCCATAATGGAGCAGCACTAAGGTGCACTATGTGGTACAATCACTTAGTTTACATTGAAGCATGCTGTTTGATATGAACGTTTATTAGGCCCAGTGGATTCGGGTTTTGTATGAAGTTGGTGAGTAGAAAGCCTTGATTACATTTTTCAATAAAAGTCCATGCAAATCATTAGAAGGTTTCCCTGAGTCCCTCTATCTTAAAGGGATTGGTCTCTTGAAAGCTACAATCTCACCATCCAAGGGGCAAGAGGGGTCATGGAAGTGTCAGAGAAAAAGAGTAGTGTGAATATAAGCTCTGCCTTCACTGTCCAAGACATCAACTGACTTGAACACCGATGGAAGATTTTGAATCAATGTGCTAGACAGCTCTCCGCCACCATACTCAAACTCCAAATGAAGGAATATCATGAAGAGGAATGGTGTTAATCCCTCCCGAAGGGTTCAGTGACTTGTATATTTAATGACAAAGACATGATGGCTCCAAACACTACAAGACATTTTCTTGTCATTTGTCTGAGTCTACGCTTTACAGTTGAAATGTGAAAATATGTCATAGTTCAACATTTGGTCTCTTTTGTTTTTCGCAGTTTAGGCTCAGGAGAAACGCAGGGGTGGGCCAGAGATAGAGGTCCTAGTCTGTCCTCCCTCATAGTAAGTCTTTCAGTCCTCATGTTTGGAGGACCTACTCTAAAGGAATAACACAACTGACCTTTTTAAAAACATTCCTGAACTCTGTGTCAACATTTTCAAAGACCCTGGTTGACCTTATTAGAGCTTGGCAATAGAAACTAGCCATTAGGTGTTTTCGGACCGCAGAAACTTTTTCATAGTTCTAGGAACTGTTGGAACCCTCCGCCTTTTTTTTTATTGATTATGCATCGCAGGAACTATGAACTTTTTTAGTTCCTAGAACCCCGTTTTGAGGAACCCATGGTGCGTAGTCCTCAGGGAAGACCCTAGTGAATAGTTCCACTTTGAAAAAGGCCCCAGAACAGTTTGGTTCGAAAACAACTATTGTCAACTCAAAAGCTTTTTTTCTCTAGTTTTACAAGAGGTTTTGATTTCCCTGTCTCAGCTCTTGTGTTTATGAGCTCAGTGGATTTAAACTTGGTAATTTAAACTTACTTACTTGGTAAATAACTAAAACCCGCAGATGGAACTTCTAAGTTGACCTTAGGTTGAGATGTTTTCCTGTCAAACTACAGTTTCCAAGGTCCAGAATCAGGTCCTCGTTTACATGAAATATTCTACTACAAACTTACTTTACAGCAGAAATCATACCGTCACACCTTGTGTTACTTATGATTAAAGGAAAACTTTGACCTTTTGTGTTTTTGTCAGACTCCTGGATCAGCTACGTCGATTTCTAGTCACAGTTCTCTGCATGAACATGTATACAGTAAGTCTGGCCATCACTCAAACTCTTGTTCTATGATTAAATCAAATAAATTCACCATGCTTTATTAATTTAGAAATAAAATGCAGTGTATTTTTTAATTCAAGTCCCTTTCACCTCTGCTTTATAAAGGAACACCAACATCCTACAGAACTTCTACGAGGTAAGAAGTGATTAGCAGAAAAACGTCTGCAATGAAACCTGCAATCTAATCAAAATGTTCTTGATGTACTCGCTGGGTCAATCTGTTTTTTTCCATCCTCAGAACTCAGCGTCAGACTCCTGATGTTTTCCAGCTCCAGTTTATGAGTGGATTATCAATACTGTCACCCAGGCATTAGTGACAGAGGTCTCTAATATGTTAACACTTTTGTCATTTAAGGAGTCGTTAGCGGAATATGTTCATCACTGTCACATCTTTGTTTGGTAAAGGTATTTTGTAAAAACACACAAAGGACGTTTTTCTGATTTTACAAAGTTGTTCCTCTGTCAAGATATTACAGTACTGCAACATTACAGTACTGATAGACTCGTCATGCATGATTCCTGGAAATGCAATCTTTATCTGCAACTGAATAAAAAATTGTTTTTGCAGAGACATTTCACAGCTGCTGTTTTCTCCTACAAACCCAGAGTTATCAGCTAGACCTAGCCGGAACAGCCATAGCACGCAGAAAAAACACAGCTTACACACGTGATTATAAAGGCAAATCCTTTACTGGTTTCCAGTGACACAATTGTGCAAATGAGATCAGGAAAATACATTGAAAACACCTGCAAAGAAAGACATTAAATGTTACATGACATGTTCCTACAGCATGACATTGCATTCACTTTTCATTACTAATAGAATGAGCTTCCACGATATTGAGGTCATTTGACCTTTGCCAAGACTTTTCTAACAAACTAAACTCAAACGTGACTCCGTTCAAAACTCACCTCACCCTCTGGAGGTCGATGACGCATGTCCATTAAGAGTTTTTCTCAACTCATAACTTGATGTACAATTTTTGTGCTGTAATTTGGAATATGAATTGACTGTTATATTTCTGCTTTGGATTCAAATGCTTTGCCTTTGCAGACCCCATCAGTTATGTTTATGTCTAGTTTACCTACGTCTTAAATCAACAAACTCACACCCTACACTCAGACATGAAACAGATGTAGCCCAAAATACTGACTGAATCAATATGTAGAAATTGAAAATGGCATTATTTACATCTGTATGACATCTGCATGTTTCCTGTACTGTGAGCCTTGACTGTTTGAAGGTGCAGGGAGGTGTATCATATTCAGACAGTTCATACAGAAATGACTTCAGTGTTTATCAAATTGGGAATGTAGTTTTTCTAAGTATGCTTAACAGTAGAAGATGTACTACACTGTTTTCAATAAGCGTGATAATAGATTAAGAAGGACACTGTTTAGATAGAAATTAAACTTTGGTGAAAGAATTGGGTTTAATGAAAATAACGGCTTCAGGTTTCACAACCAAGTGCAAGATGTCGATTTAAAGTGTACATGTCCAGTGTGCTTTCTATGACAAGGAATTATTGGCTGTTAAGGAATGATTACACACAGTGAAAAGTCGACAAATCCATCAACAGACATTTGTTCTGGAGGAGTTACACACAGTATCTGCTATAGTCAGGTACCAAAGGTAAAACCAGTTTAAATTATACTGCTACAATAGCATACTAAAAATATCTGTGACTGTGATAGCTACACAAAAATAATGAGCTCAAAAAAAATAAAGCAAACCAGTGTAGAAGTTTCTGTCCTATTTACAGCAACACAGGCAGCACACTTAACAATTCAAGTCAAAATATATTAGGATAAGCAGGAAATGCAGCATGTACATAAAAAAACACAAACCTCTCTTTATTTGGCTTGTACTGGGAAGACTGGATGTTACAAACCTGCTGAATTAAAGCAATTAAAACCAAACTAATGACTATGCTTGTTGGTGTAAAGAACGTGAGTTAATAGCCTTAATACAAGTTCTCAGGTCTGCTTCCAGTGTGTTAATCAGTCACAACGGGTTCTTGGTCTGTCACCACGGCGTCCTGAGCAGCAAACCAGTCTCGCACTTGCTGGTAGCTCATTCTTGATTTCTTGCATAGAGAATCAAGATCTTTTTCATGAAGTTGTCCTATTGAAAGATAGTATGTTTCTAATGGCTGGATATCTGGAGAATCAGTACTTCTTCCATTTGCTTGAGATTTTCGTTTGCGACCACCCCCCGGCCGAGAAGCTGTTCCACCTCCGTTAGTTAAACCACTGCTGCTTTGCTGGACTGCCAGGTCTGCCAAGAACTGGTCGCGGACCCCTTTAACCCAGCGCAGCTGGCCGTTTTTAACCGCATAACGTGTGTCACCAAACCACTGAATAACGTCTGCACGGGGTAAAGCTGTAAGCTTCACAAGCTCAGTGTAATCTTCACTTTTGGGCCACTGGCAGCGTAAGAAGTGTTGCTTTAAAACATCCAACTGCTCCTTGGTTTTTCTTGGTCGCCCAGCAGGAGTGAGAGCAGGGGATGTGGATGCGGATGAAGAAGCCCCTGTGAAGCGAACAGGCGTTTCTGAGGGACTGGATTTGGCTGAGTGGGCTTTCTTTGATGTGCTGATGCTCTTTGAAAGAGGTTTACTGGGTGACGTAGACAGTGGTGGGCTGCCAGAGGGGGAAGAGCAGGGAGAGGATTCCAATATTTCTGATGGTTCCTGAGGAACGTCTGGCTCAATCTTGCAGATCTTGATCAGTTGTAAGGGTTGTTCTTCACTTTGTTCGCCATCACCAGAAAGCTCCTCCATAACAACATAACTTTCTGCATCAAGGACCCGTTCTCCAAACGCTTCGATGCTGTTTGACAAAAAAGTCTGAAAGAAATGGGAATTTCTTATCCCGTTGCTGCGGACTCCTTCCTGGCACTTCTCCCCATTTAGTGGATGAATCTTTTGCGTAATAAGTGAAAGAGGTTCACTTTGTTGATCTTGTTTACCTCCGACTACAGTCTGCTGAGAGTGAGTTTGGGCTGCTGCCAGGCTTCCTCGGCCAACCCTAAGCTGATACCGGCTGTCGCTGAACCATTTACGAATGTCGTTACGGCTCAGCCCAGTTTCTTCCTGCAGGCGCCTAAGCTCCGTCTCTGCAGGCCAGTTCTCTTTCAGAAAGCTCTTTCGAAGGGCAGCAAGCTGAACTTTAGTCTTTTTGTAGCGCCCATGACGATGTTGTTGTGTCGATGACAAAGAAAGGTCAAGGGAGACATCAGCAGCTGTACTTGCTGGTGTGTCTGCTGGCGGGCGGTAGAAATAAGAATCCTGAGGAGGAGGGAGGGTGGAACTGAAACACGGGACAGTGGATTTGGCTGGTTTATAGGAATCTGGTGACTCACACTTTGGTTTCTTTTTTTTCGGAGTGAAGCTGGGGAGAACGACCTCTATTGCACTGCTTTCATCATCCTCAATTACCAATTCTTCACAACTTCTGCTCTTGCTCTTCAGCTTTGCTTCCTCATTTGTTTCAGTAGAGTCATCAATAAGCTCGGGCACTGCCAGCTTTTTCCGCGTCTCCTCGATCTCCTCTGAGGACCAGCTTATACCATATTTAATCCTCTGCACCATAAACCACACCTTCACTTTGTCCAGTGGCAAGGCACATTCCCGGGCCAGGGTGTTAATCTCACGGGATGATGGATATGGAAATAAATTGAAGGCCTGAACAAGCTCTGGGATTGCATCAAGTTCACGGGTTTGGTCTGACTGTGTCCACACCAATTTCAGTCCCTCGGACACAAGAGGCAGGCACACAACGGAGTTGTGGTTGGTGGTGAAACTGGCCACACCACTTGCGCTGCTTTCATTTGAGCTGACAGAGTGGTCCAAATCCTTGGGGGAACATTTTTCTTCAAGCTTTTCTTCACATTCTGTCTTTGTAGCTTTCACTTTAAACGACTCGTTCATGACCACAAGAAGTCCGTTTCTGCCATTACGTTCACTGTAAGTTGCCATCTGGGATACCAAAGAGGTGGCCTCAACTACAAAAGAAACAAATATGCTGATTTTAGTACCAATGTTTTACTTATTTCAACTCTTAAGATGTTTGCATTTAACAGACGAGGCATACAGTTAAGAGCTTTTTGTTCTCATTCAATCTCAAAGTCAATTATCTGACAGCTGTTTCCCCTCCCCCACTACTTTGCAACTCCTAGTTCTGAACTCCTATTGAAACTAGTCGTAGCCCAAACTCTGTCCAGACTGGGTACCCCTCCCCCAAAGTGTGGGGACTAACTTTTGTTTTGTGTGAGTGGGTGGGGGGAACAGGTCGCAAAAGGGTGGGAGCGTGGGGGGCGGGGGGGATCTATGAGAAATCCATCACGGTCTACTTTTTCTCACCCTTTCCCAGTCAGGCTTTGTTCCAGTCTCCCAAAGTGAAGTGTAGCCTCTTCACAAACCACAACCAGATACCACAACAGAAACCTGTGGAAGAGGAAACGACTCCGTTAGTCACATTCGAGTCAGAGTCGAGTCACCATACAGATCAGGATTACACATCAAATACTCTTTATGAAAAAAAGTTGATATAGTTGTAAGTTAGTTTTGAAGCAACAGGTGTTAAACACAGAGAAACACCACATATAAAATGCCAGTTTTCTTGTAAGAAGGCTAAAATAACCAACCAATTTTGATTAATATCTTTTTTTTTGTTGACATTATTTGCATTTATTACCTAATCGTATTAATAGGATGTTGGTAGCGACATATGTAACCGTGTATGACAAGTAACTTCCCCTTTTTAATTAAGTAGGAAGAGATTTTGTGACAGCTGAAGAAATGCGGCGTATTAAGTACGATTACGCCACGGCAGAACATTTGGGTCGCTTGAGCCACGAAAGAAATGTAGCAAAGTGTAGCAGAAACATAGACAAACAAGTATGAAATCACCGTGTTAGTCATACGTGATACATCAAAAAAAAACCCGCGGGTATGAGGTCATGCGGCGGTCCCACCAGTGTCTCATGTTTTTACTTTCACACTGGAGTAGTTGAAATTGTGTATCTTCGTTTTAGTGTAATGAAAAGCTGTAGAAGTTGCTCCAGGGGGGCAAGTAGCAGTCCAGCGACTCCCCCCCCCCTTTATGGCGTACTAACTAAAACACTTCACACTGCACAGGCGCACTTCACCGTCAGACACGCTTCACTGAAACATAAAAATAAACTTACCCACTAAGCCAAAACAAGCCTTTTCTTCCCGAGGTCCGTGTGTGCGTAAAGACGAACGAAACCCGGAGTTTCCCACCCCCCTCCCCAAGCCACACTCCGCTTTTTACAGCCGAAGTTTAGAGGAAGAGCTGGGAAACAATACCGTCTGTCTGCCTGTTTGACCCTTGTCTTATTTATCAAGCTCCTCGACGGATTACGGTCAGCATACAAAGATGCGAGGCGACCAAGTTTGTCGCCTTCCGTAGGAGTTAGGTCCCCGAATCAATCCGGCCGAAGAGCGCACAAATATCTCAATCCGTGAGATTTAGGTTTGGATGATGAGTCGCCGTTACTTCTCCCCCCCTCCGTCCAAAAACCGTGGTTGCTTTTGTTCTTTAACTGAGAAGTGTTTTTTTTTTTTCTCTGTCCGGCCAGATCGAGGCGAGGCGGAGCCGAGGACCAGGAAGCCCACAAGGCCCGACTCTCCCACAGTGACGGCGGGGTGGGTGTGCCAGTCTGAGAGCTGGCCGTGGATTGGTGGGAGGAGGCGCCTGTTTAATAAATCCGTGGCAGTAGGCTAAACAGTTTCACGTCAACCACCCACTGGTCACCCCCCCGAAACCAGACAAACAAACATCTCTCATGATTTGCGATGATGTTCTAGGCTACGTCTTCTTCTTCTACTGTCTTTACCAAGAGCATTTAATAACAAAAAGTGTAGCCTACAGGGAGTTGTAGATTGATAGGCCACATGTCTGTGGATCCTAAAAACAGTAAAAACGTAATATTATACTCCTAAATTAACATAATAAATAATTCCTGGTGCGTTCAAGGTCAGATTCTGATCTTTTTGTACCAAGTATATCTGAAATTTAAAACTTTGGCTGAAAAAATAAGTTGGGTGACAGCATTCTCCTATCATTTTTTATCCAGGCAGCATAAAGAAGGCTTTTAAAACATCATTTAAACATTTGGTTTAAGTTTGGCAACAAAACTTAGAAGAAACACAATAGAATAGTCGACTGAACATTTAAGTTAAAAAAAACATACAGATAAATATCAAACCCAAATCTTATGATTAACATACTCATGATGTACCAAAGCTCCATGAATAAATAACTTTATAACATGTTAGGTCATCTTTTTAATGTGAAGATGCGATATTCTGGGGCACCGATGGCCTATCGGTTATGTACGGAGGCTGTAGACCTCGCCGTGTTGACCGTGGGCTCGAATACGACCTCGGCTCTTTGCTGCATATCGTCCCCTGATCTCTCCTCTCAACATTTACTTTCTCTCTTCACCTGTCCAATCTAATGAAGGCAAAAAAGGCCCCGAGAATACCTTGCAATATATTATTTCAATAAAAAAAAAAGATGCAATATTCTAAATTGAAATATGCTTCATACATGATCTTCTACCACTAAAAATAAAGCTGCTCTTTGAAAGTGATTTCTATCAAATCAAATTAAACCCAATGATGAATTGAATCATTATTAAGACAATATGTAAATGTTCATATCCCTGCAACACTTCCTTCATATTGTTTTCAGTTTGGGGATGTGAGGACTTTTGGAAAAATGAATGAGAAGTGTCACCAGCTGAGTTAATATTTCTTTATTTGAAATGTAATGATTTAATCCTACAAATCTACTTCAACTGTACTACTAATCAATGTCAAATAAAATGGTAGTGTTATGAGTACATGTTCATTCAATAGAAAAATTACAAATATGTGCAAAAATATGTAAACATACAAATTCAAATGTTTATTCTGAATGCTTTAGATCGCTGTGATATATTTGTATACTGCTCAAGACAATATATGGCATGTCATAATATAGAGTTCCCATTTTCACATTGTGTGGCTTCTCCCACATGAACACCAGCGTTCATGTTGAATGCTGAAAATGTTGTGGAGCGTCCTTCATGTTAAGCTTTTTTACCTTGACCTTCATCAAATGGCCTTCATTAGTACTCAAGAATGTAATATACAAAGTTAAATGACACATACTATACTCCTTCAAAATCATTTTGGCAGTCTTAATTGTTAAAGTCAGCCTTTAGTCATCCATGTACTTGTAGCTCAGATACTGCCACTGCAGCGCTGAAACACAAAATGTTTAGAAACGGCTATATGCCATTGAGAGCATGAAGCGTGGGACGCGTATGAATGAAGGCACAACAGCTGATAACCAGGAGACATATGGGGCCTGGGACAGCAGGAACTTCAAGGAAGTGTAATCCACTACACCCCGCCCTTGAAACAAAAAAAAGATTCACCGTACATAACGGTTAAGTTAAGTTCAAATTTAAGAATAAAACATCTGGAAAACACCTCAGCAGATAATACAAACTCACCATCAATATCTTGGATCCCATAGCGCCTTGCCAGGTCACAGGTCATAAGTACTTTCCCAGTCAGTGACATCAGATTTTTGTCTTTCAGAAACAAAATAGAACCAAAGTTACTTCATTTGATAGAGAACAACACTGATGTCATGGAAGGATCCAACATGTGAACAGAGTGACTGAAACGCTCTCTTCTATCAAGCCTTTGTGGCTCCCTTTCACAGTCTGACTGTTAGGGGAATATTTCATCTCATTCACCGCATACACACAGTGGACATTTTCCTCTGACATCACACTTGGAGTGGGAAGCTCAAAAGCTGTTTAATGTTGTCCTGCTGATCTGGGTGATAAACATGGAATATCACACATTTATATCATTTCATTGTTATTATCAGCAACCAAAAAGACAAAAGATGAAGACATGGAGGGACATTAAATAATAAATAAATAACATTAGCAATAGTTAGACATCAACTTTAGAAAGAACCATTAACATAACTGTTTGATAGTTTTACAAGACACTATAAAATAAGTTATTTATAGCTAAAATGATCATTAACTACTGCAGGGTGACGTACATCAGGTTGCTAAACAGTTTATATTTATTTGCCAATTTTGACGTTTAACAGTTTCTACGTAGCGCAACAGGATTAGTACAATTTCTCTACAGCATAGGGCTTTCCTATCGTCAGGCATGGGAGCTGCAGAGCTACCCCTGGAGGGTTGGCACAGGTGATAGTACTGCTGGTGCCATTATAAAGAAGCGTCAAGCTTACTCTGGAGATTCATGCTTGATGTACGCTTGCTGCTCTGCGTTTTGTGGTGACATGGCATTGCACGGACTGAGGCTAAACGAAGAGGGAAGAAGTTGTTGATGGTGCGCAAGCTGTAAGATCTGATTGCCTGATTGCATTTTGTATGTGTCTAGGCGGCGCTGGTGTGATGCAAGTTGACTGAAGCTGGGGTAAAAGTGTCTGCTTTGTGGTGAGATCAGTACATGTTTTGTTTACTTAGGTGATTTGCTTCACTCTGATTATTAGATATGGTTTTAGTCTGTGTCCTGGTTTTAAAGGAGAGTCGGGTGGAACAGAGTCAAGTGAAAACATATGCCACTATTTTTATTATTGTGTGTGTGTGTGTGTGTGTGTGTGTGTATAGATTAGTTTGTAAACCAACTGGCCATTAAATACTGCTTGAATGAATTTATAATGAATAAAGTTGCTTATTGACAAATTTATCTTGGGCTTGTGCCGATGCTTTGGTTGCGGGGCTGCATTTCTATATTACACCATTGTATTCAGGATCCCCAACTCCAGTTCTAGCTTGAAAGTGGTGTAATCAGTGGTCGTCTAATAGTAACTTTACGTTAACTTATATGTTGTTTAACTTGAAATACAGCCCAGTTTTCCCTATACTATACTATACTATACTATACTTTTCTACGGCTTTGTTTGCTGATTGATCAAGAATCTGTGATAGGATAATAGTTTGTCAAACGATCTATACATGTTCATTCATCACATTCATTCAACACATGAGCTTCCCACCCTGAGTGGCAGTTCTTTCAATATAATGATGAAAGTGACATCTTACCTTTTGCCAAGTTGACAATGCACTTCCCACTCATTTCTGTGGTTTCTCCATCGGCAAAGGCACTTTTGAACTGTGGGCGAGAGAATTAGTAAAGAAAAAGAGTAAGCTTGACTTTTTTTTTTACCATGGATATGGACTGGCTGTTAAGACACAAGTCTACCTTAGAGTTGACACCCTCTGGGGATTCTTTCTCCAGTACTAACTGAGTCACCAACTCAGTCTGTACTGCTCCCGGCCACAGGCTGACAGAAGCTACTCCTCGACTTTTCAACTCATGACCCATGTCTGCTGCGAGCCTGTCACACTGGAAAGAAACCAGGAAACAAAAGTTTGTTTATTATGCTGACCTAAATACACAGAGATAAAGGGAAATCTTACGAGGGAAGAACTTACAGCTGCTTTGCCAACACCATACGGCACACTGAAGAGATAATAAAGCCCCCCAAAAGAGGAAATGGTGACTATCAGACCTTGACCTTGGGCCACCATCAGCCGGGATGCATACACTGAGAAGATATAGTGGCCCCTGTCGGACAAATATTATTACAAGTCAGTCACATTCTCTTCTATCCAGTTTTTAAACATCTCTAATTCAATGCAAATGAATTCAACTTGTATTTACAGTAAACATATCTCAAAGTATCTCAATGCTCCTCATCGTGGTATTTGGTTATGATTACTGGGAAAGCTACAACTGACGCAGTAAATGCCCCCTAACTCATAGCTAAAATTGACAACAAACCATGAGTAATAATAAATATCAGGAAATGTGTTACCAGACACCAGAAGATGATTCAGCATTCTTCTGACTGACTCATTGGACACATCAGACATGACTAAGCAAAAAGCGTACCTGAGGCCCGTGTTGTTGACTGAATCCCAAACGGACGGCTCTGTTTCCCAGAACTTTTTCCCCATGTTTTCAAAGATGGCCTGGAATAAAAAGTCGTTTTTTTTTAAAGAGTTGTCGTACTAAGGTCACACAGGGGTACTTTTACAACATAATGACACAATCTAAATGTACACACTTAGCATTGTTTTAACTCCTAACTTTGCGAGAGATTTCTAAGTATGAGAGGCAAAACCCAAAATTCAGCGAGTCCTCATTGAGACCAGACAGAAGGGAGGCTTCACCAGACTTTAGTCATTTAGTCACCCACGTTGCATTGCAATACAGGTTGCAGTTTCTTAATTGCCAATGAAACTACAAAGATGAAGGTGTTAAACAATCGCTTCATTATGATGTATTTTGAAACATACGAGTCAGAAAATTATACTACTTTCATTACTGTGGTCTTTAGACCTGTCTATTAGCTGGTTATATCTTTATGGAGTTTCACATCCATGCAGACTAGGAGCACATCTGGAGTCTGTGAGGACTCATTCTGGAGTTCAAGGTGATAGACATTTAGATTCAGCCTAACTGTTCCCATAATCATTTGACTATTTCATGAATGCAGCACACCAAGTCCTGGGTCATGACAGTGCAGTAATCCTATACCTGTACTCCAGCGTAGGCATTGTTAACCAGGATATCCAGCCTGCCATTCTGTTCCTGTTTGATCCGCTCAAACAGATCTTCAACGTCTTTGTCTTTTGTGGAATCACAGATAACTGGCACACAGTCTCCACCCCTATCCTTAACCTGTTTTGAGAACAAACAAATCAGCTGTGAAAAAATTCAAACGGAAACACTTGCAGGAAAACAATAGATCATTTTTCTAAGTCATGGTGCTCTTAAAAAAGAAGGTGACATTTCTTGTATTTTTAGGAATACAATTTTGATAGCACCAACATCAGCGAGACACATAGTCAAATGTATGTTGGAAATCTGTCTGTTATAGTTCTGGTAAGATGCTAAAGCTCAAGATGTCACCTCTTCAGCGGTCTTTTTCAGCGTGCTCTCCTGTCGCCCTGTGATGTAGACGGTTGCTCCTGCCTCCGACAGCTGGAGAGCTATTCCCCTGCCAATACCTCTGGAGGCACCTGTTACCACACACCCAGCCAGACAAGGCCATTTTCTCTGGGGGGGATACAAAAACACCCACCTACAATAAACAGTAAGATCAAATTCCTCTTGTTGATTAACCAGATGTTAATGTTTGTTAAAAATGACCAGAGGTCAACAAAGATATCAGGAAAAATGAAATTGCAACATGGTTGCATAAAAGAAAATCCCCACCCACTGTCCATAGTTCACTTGAAGGCTGAAGGAACTTTTGTCTTGCGCAATCGATTTGATGCGTCATTGACATCTGACGTTGATTAAACCATGACGACGATCGATGATCATCGGTGATTGAGCATTGATATTAGGTTAGGCTTAAATTATTAATTCAAAAAGGGAAACTCTATCTTCAAAATACTAATAATAAAATAATATTACCACAAAAAATAAATAGCAAACAAGCAATTGTATCTCAAACAGCTCTTATGTAACACAGCTCCTTTTACTTTTTAATAACGAACTTTCTTACCATATGGTCTCATTTATCTCCTTCTTTTGATCTATCATAATCTTTAAAAAAAAAAAAAACATGAAATACTTTTTCTTCTCCACGAAACAGTAGTTCTTTTGTTACATTTACATTTCTCTTGTTAAAGATAATTTGGCATTTGCGATACGCTTCAATACCGAGAAAGATTCGGTAATAGACGAGAGGTTGGCGATTCGTTTTACAGGGTTTTGATGAATTGTAAGGCATGCGTATCTTCTGGGAAACTCTGGTTTTAATAAGCATAGTAGATAATGAAATAAAAAACATGAAAATACAGAATAGGTCAACAGCATAACAACGTCGATACCTTATTCTGCAGAAAGCGTTGGATCTGGTTTGTCTCGTTTGCAACGAGGAAGCGTCTCAGTGTAAATGTCACGGCTGTTGTATGAAGCTGTGATTAAATCATAACATTTGTGAACTATGTCACAGTTACACGGCTATCATTAACAAAGTCAACCCCTCGAACGTAATATCGCGAGAAGAAAGCGCCGACACGTACTGTGGTTTCAGAAAACATTGAGGGTTCACTTTAGCTAACTTCCTCTTTCGCTTAAAGTTTTGCAGGATGACGATGACACACACTCCCACCAGCTAGGCTTTTTTTTTTTTTAAAGCTCACTCTGAAATAACTAATTTGTTTTAGACTTTTGTGAGCTGCTAATGTCATCTTGAATATAGGCTAAATTAAAATGACTTTTTAAACAATACTGATGCTGTGTTTTATCTGTTAACTGTTGTGCTTGGTGATTACGTATTAGACCCATAGACCAAATTCAGTGAACTATCTTGCCAGTCAGTGTCGAGTGTGGTCTTTGGTTTGGACGCATGATGGCGCTGTAGCACTCCTCGCTATAGGCATACACGGAGCCAATCATGTGGTGAAATGAAACGTGTTCAGTGATTTAATTAAATGCTGCTAGTAGTTGTGAGTGAGAGTGTATGTTTTGATTGGTGGGTGTTAAAATGCTGCAAAATGAACGTGGAAAAAACCAAAAAAACCTGTTTATAGCCCATTGTTAAGGCTACTTCTCTGACCAAACATTGTACTGCACATGCCCTTGATTTTCATTGTTGAATTTATTATACTGATACCCAATTGTGAAGTCAAACTCTGGCGTGGCAACAGTAATGTTCCCTCTAGCTGCAGGAAATATAAGTTCATTCACTTTCTCTTCATCGTTGTATCTAACTGTTCGGTTGTACACCTATTTATTACCAAATGTATCTCTTGGACATTACTCTGGATAACGTAGAACTGGTTTGTTGTTAACAGATATATGCCTTTTTCATAGCCTACTGTTGATTTATTAGCAGATGTGGTTGGTGGCATCTCAAATGTGTTCTTATTATATTCTAATAAAACAAGAATTACTGTAGATTTAACTTTCTTTTTATTATTTGTTTATATGATAGGGCGGTGGACAGAGTAGTAAATCAGGAGAGAGAGAGTGGAGAATGACATGCAGGAAAAGATCAGCAGGTTGGACTTGTACCTGGGCCGCAGTCTTGGAGGACTGTAGCCTCTGTAGGCTATATAGATAGATAGAATCTTTATTATCATTGTATACAAGGACACAACAAAACTTTGTTAGCAGCAATCCTAAACTAACTAAACTAACTAACTAAATATGGGGTGCGACCTTACTGCCCCACTTAATCTTTCTAAAGATAACTTACAAAAAGACAAAAGATGTTTTCAGGCTTAACTTTATTATTTGAATTTGCTTGGATAGTTCTGTTTTATGGTAACTTAGTGAAACGTCAAAACTTACTTAGTTTTTGTTTTTGAAATGTCCTCATTTCATATCTCTGGGGGGAGCTAATGATTGATTGGCAGTGTGCAGTTGTTTCTCTTTTCTATGATATGTCCCAGAAGCCCTGTAACGACTGATTCGGTGTTGTGTATATTGTTACATTCCTCAGTTAGTGGAGCACCATCAACTTGTATTGGTTCGGGGAATGGCAGCGCCGGGGTTTGCACTTGACAGGAATGGGGTCCTTAGGGTCCCTTAGTGAGCTGAAGTGGATTACGGATCAACTTTGATCTGATTCACCACTAAGTGACATTAATATCCCGCCTTGAACTGGAAATATAGTCTGTATGTGTAGGAGCTATTCAGTGGTTGTTAGAATTAGTTTGGTCTTTAGTTTACTAGTATTTGAGTGGTGTTGTTTATTTAGTTATTCGACATGTTTTATTTAAGGTTTTGGGTAGAAATGTATTTAGCTAGTTATTGTTTAGTCATTTTAGTTTTGCATTAGTATTTTTGTTAGGTATTTGGGTAACACTATGGGCACCTGAGGTTATTTAGGTAAGAGGCAGGTAGAGGACCAGCTTGCACCTGGGTGGGCCTATGTTTTTTTTTACCAGCGCAAGAGAGGTGGCCGGATCCATGATTTCTTTGTTCTTTTGTTTGTTTGCTTGCTTTTGACCAAACAAACCACCAGAAACGCAGATCTTTCGAATGGACAATGGACTTTTTTTTTGCCTGCATACATCACACTCCTGTGGTGCATCAGTGGTCATTTGATTATGTTTGATATAAGTTTATTTTGATTTTTTTTTTCAGACAAATAGCCACTACAATATGTTTCCCCTTACTCTTCTTTTGTCTTCAGCTCAAAGACCTGCTAGTGAGGAGGAGCCAAGATCTGGCATGAGTTTGAAAAACATTAACGACACAACAATAATAATAATAATAATAATAATAATAATGATAATATAATTTTAGGAACTTAAAGGCACTGTACATCCATTGAAAAAAAAAAAAGATCAAGACAACACAGTAAGAACAAACCAACAAACAGTGGTTGAGGGCTTTATGTGTGAGGAGAAGGATTATGAATTGTACACTGTACAGGACAGGGAGCCAGTGGAGCTTTTGCGAGGTCACGGGATTGGTGTGGGTGAGAAGGCGTGCAGCAGCGTTCCGGATGTATTGGAGTTTAATAAATGTCAGTGTTACATTGTCAGATCAAAGTTATTGAGCAAACAACCCTCATAATAACAATAATAACTTTATCTATACGTATAGCACCTTTCAAGAACAGAGAATAGTAGGTCTACTGAGTTCTGTGTGTACTGTTCTTTGGTGATTGTCTGTGAGACAGAAATGGAGCTGTGAAAAGGAATTTCCCCATGGGGAAAAAAGTAAAAGTCGAGGAGAGATTAAACCCAGTAACTTGGGTTCCCGTCTTCTAATAACAAAACAAGCTCTGAATCGAAATTAATTGAGCAATCTTTGTCAACACATTTTTCCAGTAAGCCCACTCAGGAATACTGTGAACATTAAAAAGACAAACAAGGTCAAAACTGGATCTGAATAGCAGAAAAAATATTCTGCTTTGTGGTAAACACAGCTCTTTTATGGTGTCAAAATCCAATTGCATGTTTTTCCAGAAAGTGGTAGGCCCCATATTCTGTGGCATATTCTTCCTTTATAATAAAGATTATCATGCACAGTAACAGAAAACATGTGTCAGAGAAAAGACGGCATTGTGATGCAGTATACAGTTGCAAGAAAAAGTATGTGAACCCTTTGGAATTTCTTAGTTTTCTGATTAAATTGGTCATAAAATGTGTTCTGATCTTCATCTAAGTCTCAACAATAGACAAACACAGTCTGCTTAAACTAATACCACACAAACAATTATATGTTTTCATGTTTTTGTTGAACACAACATGTAAACATTCATAGTGCAGGGTGGAAAAAGTATGTGAGCCCCTAGGCAAATGACTTCTCCAAGAGCTAATTGGAGTCAGGAGTCAGCCAACCTGGCGTCCAATCAATGAGACGAGATTGGAGGTGTTGGTTAAAGCTGCCCTGCTCTTTAAAAAACACACTCCAGTTTTGAGTTTGCTACTGTCAAGAAGCATTGCCTGATGTGAACCATGCCTCGCACAAAGGAGCTCTAAGAAGACCTACGATTAAAAATTGTTGACTTGCATAAAGCTGGAAAGGGTTACAAAAGTATCTCCAAAAGCCTCGATATTCATCAGTCAAGACAAATTATCTATAAATGGAGGAAGTTCAGCACTGTTGTTACTCTCCCTAGAAGTGGCCGTCCTGTAAAGATGACTGCAAGAGCACAGCGCAGAATGCTCAATGAGGTGAAGAAGAATCTTAGAGTGTCAGCTAAAGACTTACACAAATCTCTGGCACATGCTAACATCTCTGTTGACGAATCTACGATACGTAAAACATTAAACAAGAATGGAGTTCATGGGAGGACACCACGGAGAAAGCCACTGCTGTCCAAAAAAAACATTGCTGCATGTTTGAAGTTTGCAAAAGAGCACCTGGATGTTCCACAGCACTACTGGCAAAACATCCTGTGGACAGATGAAACCAAAGTTGAGTTCTTTGGAAGGAACACACAACACTGTGTGTGGAGAAAAAAAGGCACAGCACAGCACACCAACTTCAAAACCTCATCCCAACTGTGAAGTATGGTGGAGGGGGCGTCATGGTTTGGGGCTGCATCAGGTCCTGAACAGATTGCTATCATCGACGGAA